GTAATAGTAAAAAGGAGAAATGTTATGAATGGTAGTACTGGCGATAATAATGAGGTCTACACTTAAGAACTTACATCTGAATTCCCTACTATATGTAGCATTTGGGGGAGATTTTACCTCATTTGACCGAAACATAATAAAATGATAGTAAAATATGCCATATGCGGTGCAATATGTGCACTGATTGCAATGCGATAAAGTATCCATGTTCCTTTTTTTCTTTTTAAGACAGGATCTCACTATGCAGCTCAGGCTGGCCTTGAGCTCACTTTGTAGCCCAGGCTGGTCTCACCTCACAACGATCCTCCTGTCTCAGCCTCTTGAGTACTGAGATTACAGGCGTGTGCCACCACGCCCAGCTAGATCCCTGTTTTTTGTAAAGGTAGGAAAGAGTAAACAAAGTTTCCCAGGTTCTGTTGAGAACAGGAGGATGGAAACCAAATCATTTTTTGGGCAAAATGCTGGAGACATTTGCATTTTATTTTATAATAAATCCCATTCTGCAAGATTTTAAAAGGCAAAAAAAATTATATTCAACATATTTAAGACTTCTAAAAAAATTCTGGTGCTGGGCATGATGGCACATGCCTGTAATCCCAATACTCGGGAGGCTGAGACAGGAGGATCGTTGTGAGGTGAGACCAGCCTGGGCTACAAAGTGAGCTCAAGGCCAGCCTGAACTACATAGCAAGACCCTCTCTCAAAAAAACAAAATTTAAAGTGCTGGAGACATTTGCGACCATTTTTTTTGTCTTCTTTATTTTTAGGATAATTGTATCTTTTCATGATTGTTCATTCTTAAATTCATCTTAATGACACATACTGGTATTATCAGAATTAACACAAGTTATTACTAATATATACAGTCTTTCATTCTTTCTTTTGTTTTTGTTTTTGTCTTTTTGAGACAGGGTTTCACTTTGTAGCCCAGCCTGGCCTTGAACTCGTAGTGATCCTCCTGCCTCAGCCTCCCAAGTGCTGGGATTATAGGCATGTGCCACCACGCCTGACTTATAGTCTTTCTATTTGAATTGAGAATTCTTTAAATTTTAAGTCTTACATATATGAATATAATTTATTTTTAAAAATCTTGCAGAATGGGATTTATTATAAAAGCACAGATAATGGAATTTAGAATATTGTTTAGAGCATCACAATTCTAGTAAGTGATTTCTTGTCCATACCACATTGCTGTTAGCATCTTAACTAACACAGCTTCTATATCTGGTAAATATGATAATACTTTCATAGTAAAATCTGCAGATTTGGGGGATAGGAGTGGAACCCCTTTGAAGAAATGAGAAAGTGTGTGGACTGTACCATGATAGTGTGTGTGTATGTGTGTGTGTGCTGCTGAGAATAGAACCCAAAGCCTTCCGTACATTAGGCAGATACCCTACCACTGAGCTGTATTCCCAGCCTGACAGGATAAATATTTCTTCATTCAGTTTTGGACTACTACATTTCTTTTCTCAAATGTTTCAATCAAAATTTTTAAACAAAAACAGTAAGGTTCACAAGTTAACAATGAAATTGTATGTAATTTTAGTCCATAATATCAGTATTCTGTTCATTTATAAAAATATTTAGTAATTCACACCTATTATTTTTTCATTTGCATGTACAACTGAAAATTTAATAAACTCCGCAGAAAGCATTTTACCCATTTTGAGGTAAATATTAAGCAAAGTAGGCACACCTTAACATACTGTTCCCTACCCCCAGGGTGCTGGGGATTGAGGCCAGGATCTCACATGTACTAGGAAAGTGGTCCACCATTGAGCCTTATCTCAAACTCATGCACACTTTAAATATGCTGATTTCATACAGAGAAGAGTTACTTTGGAATTGAAATAATTTTTTAGGCGTTGGTAAAGGTTAGACTACTTCAACTGTGCTAAAGCCGCTGTTTGTCAAGAAAGGTGATATTGAGCCCCAGCTGGTGGTACATGTCTATAATATTAACACTCTGGGAGGCTGAGGCAGGAGGATGGTGAGTCCAGTCTGATCAACTTAGCAACTTAGCAACAACCTGTTTCACAATCAAAGGGCTGAGTCTGTTGCTTAGGTGCAAAGGCCCTTGGTTCAACACATACATTAGTTTTATAGTTCAGAACCATGACTAACTTACTTTAAACTGACAGTTCTTGCATTTTGTCTGGTTAGTTCTGTGATGTGACATGATGATTTCTGTTTATAACAAATTGAACTCTTTCCTCATTTCTGAATCCTCACTTAAACTTGCTTGGTGTATCACAACTACGTATATGAGCCCTTGATTTATTTTCTCCAGAATTCATATATGAGTAGGTATAGGCTTAATTGTAGTACAGTCCTTCGTCTTTTGTGTAGTACAGTCCTTCAGTAAAGGACTTTACTAATTGTAGTACAGTCCTTCGTCTTTTGTCTTTCCTCAATAGCTGCCTTAAATTATGAGTGTTACAATCCCAGATACTTCGTTGAGCAGGCTACCTGTTCATACAGGAGTGCATTGTTGTATAGCCTCATTCCTTCCGATGGGTGTGGAGCAGGATTAAAGCACACTTTATAGGGGTTCTAATTGTAGATGCCTAATTGACTTGATGAATAGCAAATGTTAAAATTTAAACACACACACATGCACTCACACACATAAACCTGTTTCAGGGCTGATCTACATGACAGAACAATTGCCTCACAGGTGTTGAATACTTATAAGATAAAAGAGGAGTCTTTCCCTATTTCCCAAGAATTTTCTTTTGAAGTTTATTTGGATTTTCAGTCTCATTGTTTCTTTTCTTAAAATGGTTCATGGCAAGAATCCATTTTATCTTTGGCTACACTTTTCACTTATAAAAGCAGACTTGAGTTTTAGAAGTCAGCCAAAACTAAGAACAAGAATTATCTGTCAACGGGTTTATTTCCCCACATTTTGGGAAAGGAAAAAGAGAAAAACTGCTGACTCTGGTCTTTAGCCTAGTAGGTTCACAGATTCTTCTTTTTTGATATAGGGTCTCACCAAGTTTCTTAGCTCCCCAGATTGGTCTCAAACTTGTAATCCTCCTGCCTCAGCCTCCAACAAATTCTTCCTTTCTTAATTTTACAGGAATGATTTTATGCTTCACTGAGTACTTTCAAAGTCTCATGAATTTATTATCACTACCTAAAAAAGAAGGAAATGTCTCAGACTAGGAATTTGGCAGATAAAAAAGATTTTTAAAACTCACCTTAGGTTTCACTCTTAACATTTTTAAAAGATCAGTTTTCTGTTTGTTGTTGCCTATTATATTTTAACTGTTTTCAAATCTCTCACAAATTACACTTTTATTTACTTAAATTTTAGGGTAAAGATTTGGGAGTAAAATGTGTCATATCAGTTGGACATTTCGTAGAGGTGAAATTCAAGGGAAAAGGCAAAAAGTGTAATGCTTAAAAATTGCTCCAGGGCCTTTATTTTTCTATAGTGTCGGGATTTCCTGGCATTAAATTATTACTCCTTGGGCAGTATGAAGAGATGACCTCTTCATTATCTGTGTAATCGTGAGGAAATATAGAAGTTTGTGTTTTTAAATTCTGGTCTAAATTATGTTGTCCAAAAGATGATACTAAATTAAACAGATAATATGAAAATCCTGTTGTTGGAAATAATAAATATATTAATATTTATAAACATCGTATGAAAAGATTTTCTAAATGTATAACTCCCTAGATCCATAAACTATTAAAGGCAAATAGTAAATAATCTGAATTTTCAGAAATTATTCAGCTAATAATTACTTGTTGGGGACTAACTCTTCCCAAATAAAAGAAATTCTTGAGTAGATGTAGAAATTTACGTTTTTATAAGCAACTTATTTTAATAAGTTGTTAAAATATTCATAGTCAGGGAAATTGTTGAATGGTAAAAGCACCGGTTTAAGAATTAAAAAATAAAACACTGCATGTTTTTCTTCCTTTATCTTAATCATGTTGCAGAAAATAAGGAGCAGAGAAATGTATTTATTGATTAGAACAACACCCAGCTTTTGATGTGATTCTTTCTAGTTTGTTCGTGTATATGTGTTGAAGAAGTTTTAATCAGATTGTCCAGATTGTATAATACATTTATATTTCCAACTGTTTGCTGATGCTCAATAGACAACATGACATATTACTAAAAACATTTTTTGACATATTGATAAATTGCATTGCAAAGAATTGTCCAATTTCTAATATGTCCAGTATAGAAGTATAGCTTTACAATACTTTTATGAAGATTGGTTATTATCATTTCTACAGTTCCTAAGTGATTGTTTCGATTTGCACTTAAATTTAGTTGCTAATTAAAATGCGTATATTTTAGTGTTTATTTATTGGCTGTTTTTCTTCTTTTGTTCCTATGAAAATTAGAAATGTTACTCTACTTCCTCCATCCCTTTGCAGTTTCAGTGCCCTTAGGCTGCTTTTTTCTCAGTAACTACTTAAGTCCCAAAAGCAGTGGTCATCTTCCTTGTTTTGTGTCAGGCTTAATTAAAATTTAAAAAGTAACAAATACCTTGAGATAAAAATGTTACTGCCCTTTATTAAGTTCTTTTCTGTAAGCAGTTTTGCTTCTAATCCAGGACTTCTTGCTGCAATCTAGTTTAATCCTAAAAGATTGGAGCTTACATAAGCACTATTGCTGTTAGCATTTGTAGGTTGTGTCAGAACATAGGCCTTCATTTATGGTGAACTTCTAATTATATGTTTGCCCTTGCTGTTAAGAAAGGAAATAACTCACTTTAGGTGGGGAAATTTTCATTCTTCTTGTCTGTCATATGTAGACTAAAAGCAGTAATGTTGCTTGTATACTTTTGTGACTTCAGAATTACAGTAAGGGGAATACACTCTCGGTTCACTGAGACCTGGTTCATTATTCAGAGGCCAGACTGAAGTGACTTAATAGTGTAGCATTTAACTCATAAAGGAAGTTAGATAACTGCCTCAGAAATAATAAAATGTACAAATAAAACATTCTGGGTGTTTTTCTTTTTACCTTTCAGGTTTACAAGTAAAAGTAACCAAACTGAAAAAGGAACGCATTTTGTAAGTATCAGTACAGTGTGTAGCACTGATGCAGTATTTATAAAACAGTTGGTATTATTATCCTGTTTGATCTCAGTATCTTACTTGAAAATAAATTAGCTTTATTTAAGCCTCTTATTTAAAAAGAAATTAGCCTACAGTGATTTTTTTATAGCTATAAAGTAAAAAGAGCAACTTTATGGTTGTAAGTATAGCCTTAGCTAACATATGCATATATAAATTTAAAATTTTTTTTCACAGAGTACTTGTTGAGATGAAAATTGATTTGATTTGTCAATAGCATTCTTTTTTTAGCTGTATTAATACCTGCAATTCAGAGCACTGCAGGATTGCGAGCAGAATGATTCTGGGCTTTCTAAACTCATATAAGAAATGGAAACTAACCAGATATCCTGAGATCCCTTTTTAGTAGTTTAGAATTGTCAGAGGACCCCTGGATTGTTTTGGCTGTTAAGTCCTGAATTAGCGGATTTTCTAAGTTAGGAGCAGATTTATTCATGGTTCTTTAGCAGCACTATGTTTAGGAATGTGAAACAGATGGCATACTGGAATATCAGTACGTATAAAATGACTTTACGTTGGCTTTATATTATATACCTTTAGGGCTCCCTTACTTCGTGTTCTTAACACTTACGAGGTTGTAACTGAAAGCTAGTGTTACTAACGATCAGCGCATATCCAGTTATTTCCTGTAATATAGTATGAATGCAAAGTGGGATTGTTTTCTTCACACCTTAGTCATGTGTGTAAGTGGGCATAGATTCAGAAATATACAATTATAAAATTTAAAAAGCTGTGTTTAAAAAATTTCTTCTTAATTAGTAAAAATTCTTACTAACATTGGAATGTTTTACGTTGTTGAAAGTGTACATTTTCCTACATGTTTCTACTTAAAGATGTCATTTTAGATCTCCTTAATCATACCATAACCCATTTCTTAGTTCTCACAATGGAGAGGTGTTTCTTTACTTACAAAGGAAATTAAAAGGCTTTCCTGAATAGTAAATTTAGGATGCATATCTTACTAGGTCAATATTTTTTACCACAAAAACAAGCAGAAGTGACTTTTACTTGAAGAAAATTATATCCTCTCACATAGTAGGTCTCAAAAAGAGACATTCTTGCACGGCTTAACCAGTGATTCAAAATCATTAGAATCTTGGATAATTTATTTCTTCTTTCCCATTGATAATGTTGGTCTTTCCCTCTAAATCTTGACAAAATGGCAAGGGTTATGACCAGTGATCATGGTCATTCTGATTACTACTTGATAAACATCCGTATATCCCTTTTATTAATTACAGACATTTGCCAGAGCAGACCTCCTCTAACTTACGGACTATAATTGTGTAATCATTCCTAAATAGTAACTGAAAGGAACTGAATTAGTATGCTTGGTTCAAACTAATAGATTTTGACACTATCTTATATGTATGCCAGGATGAAACAGATAAGTAAATATATTACTACTAATGAGTGCTAGAATTCCTGTCAGGAGAATGGAGTTAACACAACAGTAGGGAAGGTATAAATAAACCCTGTCTTGCTTGGTAGGAACTGGAGTTATCAGTGTGCACTCATGGTTTTTAATATATAGATACAGGTATTTGTTAATGTACCTGAGGACACACATGTATATCCTAGGCTTAACCCATTGAGAGGGACTAGAAGCAGTGACACCCTAGTAGTAGTGAGCACACCTTAACCTCAGATCTTGATTTCTACACAGTATTCTCCAGCGAAAAAAATGATGTTCTTTGGAAAACTAACTAATTCTGTGGCGGATTGGAGCACACAGGATGAACTGGAACATCTTAGGTGCCAGAAAATAAGCTCATGTTCAAAAAAGGCAGCCCTTGAAAATACATAGAGGACAACTGGAAAAAAAATTCCCAATGGCAGAATCTATACTTCCCATAAAATAAAGGGGCAGCTCTTCCACTTATTAACAGTATATAGAATGATACAGAAAATCACCATTTGACAAACACGGTAGCAATAATTATTGAAGACAGATCATGGAAGCTGAGCATGGTGGCACACGCCTAAAATCCTAGCACTTGGGATGCTGAGGCAGGAAGGTTGCCGTGAGTTTGAAGCCAGCATGAGCTACATAGTGAGTTCAAGGCCAACTTGAGCTACTAATGAAACCCTGTCTCAAAAAAAAAAGAATCACCATGGAGGCTAAAAAAGAAGCAGATGACAGTATGGTGAGAAACAGTACTCTGTAAGATCCTTATTAATTACCAAGCGAAAACTTGTAACATTACAGCTGAGAAGCCTGGCTGGCTCCTCCTCAGTGAGATGTTCGACATCAACTTCACTAGGAATGAGAGAAATCCATCCCATGTACCTCCTGAAGTAGTGCAATAAGAAGGGCACATCATTTCTGTTGTATTCTTACCAAAAATACATAACCTGAATTTTCTAGTGGAGAAACAGCAGAAAAACCCAAACTGAAAGGTAGTCAACAAAATAACTGGCCTGAACTTTTCAAAGTTGTCAGGGTTGTGAAAAGCAGAGAAGGATGGAGAAACGGTGCTAATTGGCAAAAGTGTGATAATGAAATGCAGTGTACAATCCTAGACCACAAAAATGATATTAGAGTGACAGTTGGTGAAATTTTGATGAGGTCTATAGATTAGACAGTACTGTTATTATCAGTGTTAACTCCTTGATTTTAATAATTGAACTATGACTGTGCAAGATGTAAACATTTTGAAGCCAGGCATGGTGGCACACACCTGTAATCCCAGCACTCGGGAGGCTGAGGCAGGAGGATCGTTGCAAGTTTGAGGCCATCCTGGGCTACAAAGTGAGCACAAGGCCTGACTGAACTGCATAGCGAGACCCTGTCTCAAAAAAGAAAAAGACATTTTTGAGAAGCTGAGTGATTGGTATATAGGTACTCTGTAACTTACAGGTCTGAAATTATTTCCAGAGTGAAAAGATAAGATCAGCCTCTCTCCAAGAAGCTACTAGATATTGGAGAAAATACAAATTAATTTTAACAAGGCATAAAAAGGAAAAATGACCGTTGAATAGGACAAAAATGTCACTACAGTTTTTCTAGCCCTTCTTCTATGGCTCCAAATGTAGTAGCTAGTGCAGCTCCGAAGCATGATCTCCTCATGTTGTGCAAATTTTCTTTTGTTTCCATGGGAAAGAGAGGTTTTTCATAAACTTTCCAGCCTGTTAAGGTACTTTATTTAATATTGATATTGAATTATGTATGTCAGAATTATCTGCATAGTTACAGAAAAAATCTCTGTATAAACCTCATGATTAAAAATTATTCCAAAATTAAATATAATGAAATTATATCTGTTGGATGAGCCAAAATAGTATCATTTTAATAATCAGAAGTAGACTTTCTCATCTTCTACCCATTTGAAATAAAACAGTGGAAATATCTTTGTGTTTTATTTAGGAATGAATGGGCTTTTCTTCAGGGGTGAAAAATACTTCTTGGAATGGTTTCCAATTTTAAATTATGAAATATGCTTACTCTGTTGTTCTCTTTTTTTGTGGGCCAGTTAATGATGGTTTTTTGTCAGTACTATTAATCAGGAAAAGTACTGTCACTTAATTTGGTGATTTAGTTACATACCAATGAAATAGCTAAATTATTGCATGTTGGAGTTGCTCTGCAAGTCTCCCCTTGTATGCCTAACAGTGCCATGTAGGAGTTCTTGTTCCTTTTGAGCTTTTTCTAATACCACAAGTTTAATGTTTCAGAGTAAATTAATGGGCAGTGAACTTTTTATATTGTACCTTGGGTGAGTGTTGAAATGAATGATCTTGTAAATGCTGGATTAACAACTATTATGAGAATGGCATCCTTCAGAGTCAAAACGTTGGCCGCTTTGAAGAAGCAGTATTAAGGCTAGAAATCATTGTATGCTATTTGATTATTTTAAGCTATAGTCACTAGATGTTTTTGAAGGAGATTAGTTTTATTAAAATGGGTCCTTCATGTAGGCCTAATAATTTTATTTTCTAAAATACTGTCATTTTCAATGATAGCTTTATTGCACTTAGCTTGAGTCAGAATGATTTCCCTGGAGATTGACTAGCTATACATAAAAATGATCTAGATGTGTTCATTATAAATGCACTTCTTTTTTTTTTTGGTTTTTCTCCGGTACCGGGAACTGAACTCACGACCTTGTGCTTGCCAGGCAGGCGCTTTGCCGCTGAACTAAATCCCCAGCCCCATAAATGCACTTCTTACGGTAGACTTTCTACACAGAATATATTACTCTAACTTGTAACCAAACAGCCACATAAAATGGTTTTTTAACTTTATAAATGAAGGGTTGAATATTACTTTCTCTAAAATCACCTGTAACATTTCTGAAAATTAAATAATGGAACCAACTGGTTATTCAGTAGCTGATCATAATGCTTTACTACACTGTAGTTTGTCTTTTTAGCTACCTTCTAATGTATATTGTAATTAATCTGTCCCTGTGTACTTTAGGTAGATTGGGGTTACACATTTTAGAAGCACAAATGAGTAGGTAAATCCCTTAGTAATTAGAATTAAAAGTATGTTTTATTATACCTTCTCTAGAGTAAGTTAGGTTTTTGCTAGTGGAACTAGGAACTAGGGTTTACCTTTCTTATGTGCATTACTTATGAACTGAAATGATTATCTTAATGATCAATTAGTGAATCTGATGATGTTGCTTACTAGCTATCACTTTTTTTAAAAGTGGCTTTATTTTTAATGAGGTACTAATGACACCTGCCATATTCATCCATTTAGCGTTTTAACACTAAGAAAATTACCTTTCTAGCTGCTGAGAAATGAATTAGTCATCTACAAGTAAATCTTTATTTTCTTTTTAAAGTATTTTTTAATTAAGGGTTTAAATACAAAAAAAAATCCTGCAATTGTGCAGGACTTTTCATAATTTTGATTTCTTATCAGAAATAGAAAAATCTCCAGAATTGGAACAGAGATAATGTAAGTAGAGAGACTTGTTTATATTAACAAATGCCCACAAAATAATCAAAAGCAGTTAGTGTATTCTGATAGCCATTTTGACAAAGTTGTCAGTGGTCAAATCAGTCTCCACTCCTTCCTCTGTGTTCCAGCATTGGTTAATGAATGGTACTTAGGAAAACATTATGCTAGCACATAAAAATACTGCAGAAAAAATTCTAGTGTGATTTAAACTCTGATTAACAAAATAGTCAGACCTCACCTTTTAAGTTGTTTCGATACAGAAAGTTCATAATGTATGTAAGTAGTAAGACCAAACTTTAGAGTTGTAATAACAAATTTTTTATAGCATATTTTCCCCCGAAAAGACATTTATTTCTTGACTTGCAGAGATGCACAAAGACTGGAAGAATTCTTCACCAAAAATCAACAGCTGAGAGAACAACAGAAACTTCTTCATGAAACTATTAAAGTTTTAGAAGATCGGTGAGTCTTGTACTTGAGCAAGAGGGGATTTTACACCCTAATAGAAAGTACAGTACATTGGTTTTAATTTGTAATCAGTTGGATTGAAAGTGATTAACATTTTCCATGCTGTGAATTCAAGAGATGAACATAATGTCACTTCTTTTAAACAACTTAAAATCTACAAAAGACAAGCAGTAAAACAATTAAAACAAAATATACTGTAACAATGGATATGGGTTACTATGTAAACACAAAGCAATTTAACCTAGTCTCAGAAGTTATAGAAGGTCTTCTGAAGAATATTATGTTAAAATTCACATCTGTACCTAAGAAAAGTAAGATAAAAGAGGACACCTGGGACACAATTTATAAAATTAAGCCAAAAGACACACAAGACATCATGAAACAAGAGAAGTGTGGGTTAGTAGAGGTGTCAGATTTAATCTAATTATCAGCGTCAACCCGTGATGCTGGGTTGATTCTCAATTCTTTGCCAGTTCAGTTTCCTTACATGAAAAATTATTCTATCACCTACCTTATAGTGTTCATATGAAAATTAAGTGCAATAGGAAAATTAAGTAAGTAGGATGTCTTTTTGGGGTATAGCAAACAAATTGAACATACTTATTAATGTGGTAAATTTTAATACATAGCAAATATATTGAACATACTTATTAATGTGGTAAATTTTAATACATACATTTAAAATTAAACCAGGATCACCAAGCAGTCAAGAGTTGATCTCTTTCACAGATACTATTAAAAGTGACAATTGACAAGAAAAACTAGAAGTAATAAATAAGCTAAAGACTGTTGCTTCACTTTATACTTCTAACCATAGTCATTTTAAATCTCCCTCTGCTATAATTGAAGTTATTATTTTAGTTCTTCTGCTTCACCTTTTAACCTTAATACATTATTTAGATTGTCATTTTATCTGCTTTTTAGTTTTTTTTTGATCAGTGTATGTTTGTGATACATGATAATTACCTTCATCTTGGAAAATAGTACACACCCATATCCCATCTTAATCCTTTTTACTTTCCTTTCCCCTCCCACCATCACAGCTCCCTCCATCTCCAGGTCTGCGTTTTAGATCCCTTCCACCTGAAACACTTCGTTGCCTTCCTGCTGCATCACAGGAAGATGTTGGTGTTTTGCCTGCCCTAATCCTTCTCTGCGCTGCTCTTCTCTCTTTCTGCTCTCTCCCTTCGCAGTAGAGCCCGGACAAGAGAAATGTTGTCCAGGCTCACACTTACATTCTTTTGTCAGATTTCAGTCTTCTGTATTTGGTTTATATAAGTTGATTATGGAACTTAGGAAATAGTAAACTTATTTGATTATTTATTGGCTATGTAACTATTCACTGCAGAGCTTGGGTTGTGTCTCCTTCTCTACCTGTCTGATGTCATGAACTCTGGCCACACAAAGGCTGTTTCTAATTGCCAGATCAAAGTTTTTTTCCTCCTGTATCCCCAGTCAGCTGCACCAGATCAGATCATAATTATATTATGACAGTGACTTATTTGTAAATTTTTTTCCCAAGTCCTTAGAGACCTGTGCTAGGCAGTTTTCTTGAATTCCTTCATTGTTTCTTTCCCAACTCTTGTTCTGGAACTCTTTTGCTAGTATGGTGAGCCTTCTTGAATAATGCCCTGCTTCTCCTTTGTCTGCACTTTCACACTGCCTCTTGGGGAGATGTTACCGACTTCATTTTCTTTCTGTGTACAATTTTTTGTTTTTCCTGTTAATGTTTTTAATTTCTAAAATCCTTCTCAGAATATTTCATTTTATACAATTCATGTTCCTAATTTATAGTTTTGATTCTCTTATTCTCTAGAGTATTCTTTATAGTTAGGTAGGGGTGGAGATAGTTTATTTTTCCCCCTTCTCGTACAGCTTTTCTTCCTAATTCTTTTGTCTTTCGTAATGTTTTATTTGTTTTGGTCTTTCACTTTGTAAACCCTCTCAGATGTTTGTTGATATTTATCTGTTTATATGAAAGAGAGAGATAAAAATTTGAGGCTCTGAGTAGATGGGTGGAGTTGTAAACTTCAAGCTGGTCTGTTTGATGATACTCTTGTGTTGTATCTTTATATCTGTCTCTTAGGCTGGTCACATTTACCAGAGAATATGTCTGTCCTTCCTACTATGTATAATAGGGCAGGCTAACAGTGTTTCAGGAGTCAAGGTGATGACAGAGGCCTAGGCTAGGTCTGAGAATTTGGCTTCATATGCATTCATTACTCTACTCCTGCCCTTGCCTGTAGCTTGTGTTTCCCAGACCAGCCACTTACACTCTAGCCTGCGCCTTATCATCAGGATGCTGAAGAGGTAATCAGTCTCCCAGCTGCTCAGAATATATGTTGCTGTGGTAATTTCTTAAAATATGCTTTAAATGAGTGCCTCTTGGTACCAGCCCTTTTGTAAATTTTATTTTCAGACAGGATCTTGGTAGATTGCCCAGACTGACTGCCAACTTGGGATCCTCCTGCCTCAAGCTCCTGAGTATTTGAGATTGTAGGCATTTGACACCACGCACAACTTCTAATTTTTTGTTTTTTACATCCATATCAGTATTGTTAGGAATTTTACATTTTTTTTTATTTTAAAGAAAATAGTACAGGCCAGGGATATAGCTCAGTGGTACAGCACTTGCCTGGCAAGTGCAAGGTCCTGAGTTCGATTCCTGGAACTGAAAAAATAAAAAATAAAGAAAATAGTACCAAAAAAAGAACAATAGCAAAATACAGACAACACAAAGCAAAGATATTAAAAAATGATACAGGGTTTCAAACCAAATGATAGAGATTAACAGTGGTTGTTATATTACATATTATCTTCAACAAAGTTGCTCAGATTACCAGATGTAAGAATAGAAGATTGATCAAACCATTAAAGGGAATAAGAAGCTAATAATTTAAAAGAACATTAGAGACAATACATAGTGTCACTAGGCAGGATTGTAGGAATTCACCAATGGATATTATACTGCAAATTGTTGTCGTCACATAAGTTGCTCAGATTACCAGATACAAGCATGAAAAATTGGTCAAAATATTTAAAAAAAAAAAAACAAAACAACTTAATCATTAACTGTTCCCCTCAACAAACCATCAGACTCCAACAATAGTTATGCCACCGATCCATATATATACACACACATATATATATATATATATATAAATGCCTTAGTACTTCCTTTTTCTTCTTTCCCTCGTCCCAGTTGTTCCTTCCTTTGAGCAATTTCTTTCCCTTTCTTATTATCTATTGTACATTTTGGGTACTTACTCTTGGTATTTACTCTTCCATGTTCTTACACCAGGGAGACAATATGATGTTTACACATGTGGGTCCAATTTATTTCATTTATGAGTATGGTCTCTAGCTGCATCCATTTACCTATAAAAAACCTCGAGTTTATCTTTTTTATAGCTGAGTAATACTCCATTGTATAGAAATACCACATCTTTTTTATCCATTCCTCAGTTGATGTCCATTTGGGTTGTTTCCAAGATTTAGCTATGACAAATTGTGCCACTATAAACATGGGTGCACATATATCGCTGTGGTATGCCATTTTTAATTCTTCTGGAAATATACCCAGAAGGGGAATAGCTGGGTTAAGTGGGACTTCTAATCCTAGTTTTGTGAGGAATCTCCAAACTGATTTCCACAGTGGTTTCGCCAATTGGCACTTCCACCAGCACTGGAGAAGGGTTCCTTTTTCCCCACAGCCTCTCCAGCATTTGTCATTAGTTGATTTCTTAGTGATAGCCATTCTTTGTGGGGTGAGGTAGAATCTCAGTGTTGTTTTAATTTGCATTTCTCAAATGACTAATACATTTATATAAAAGGTCTGTGCTTTTTGCTTTAGTAGTTTCATATTCTCTTAAAATTTATGGCATATACTACCATGGTGTGATTTCCATAAACACTCAAATGTTTAATATCTATTGATGTTCAGTTGAAGTTGTTTTAAGATATATTTTCTGCATTCCCATCGTGAGATTCATGTCTTCTTTTTAACCATATTTACCTGAAATTGGAGAAATTTTTAAAAAGATGGGAAAACATTAAGAAAATATACTGTCACTTACAAAATAACTGTTAACATTTTAGAATATACCTTTCTTATCCCTGCATCCTTGCAACACCTGTGTAGTACACATAATTTCCTCTTTAGTACTCACAAATAGTCAAAAGTCTTTTATATTCGTCTTTGATATAATAATATGTTGTGGGTTTTTGGTAATATTGGTTGCTTTGAATGCTGAAAGGAAAATCTGAGGTGACTGTTTTCTTTTGTATTCCTTGACTTGTAATATTTTTCAGAAAATAACTGTTGAACACTCACTATGTGTATATAGTATACTCCACAAAGCAGATGCAAATTGCTTAAGACATAATTTGGCCCTTAGTGCTCAAGAGGCTTCATATTTTGACTATAATAAATAAAAACAAGGTTAGTTTCTTCAATAAAAAACTTCCTTTGGACAGAGTTTAATTGGCAGTTTTTTTAGAATTGCAGCTTATAGAAAATGCTACTGTTCCATGATTTCAGTATAGGTAAGAATATATTAAGGGTTTAACACATTATTAAACTAGTTGATTTCCGCTATATTTGCCAAATCAACTCATTAGCTCTTCATAAAGTATAAAAATCTTGAAATGTACATACAGTAGAATTGTCTCTAATTTAGAAATTCAAATTTTAAAATGCTCAGAAATCCCAAATTTTTTCATTATTGTATCAGCACTCCAAAAATTTCAAATTTATGGGCATTTCATATTTTAAATTTTTGTATTGGTGCTCTGCATCTGCTAATAGCTATATAAATATTCCAAACAGTAAGACATTCAAAAATCTGAAACACCTGTGGAGGAAGGATTTCAAATAGGGGAGAGTCAGCCTGTAAGAAGTTAGGTTTTTGTAGATGAAAAATGTTTTGTTTTCGTTTCATAGGTTACGAGCAGGATTATGTGATCGCTGTGCCGTAACTGAAGAACATATGCGGAAAAAGCAGCAAGAGTTTGAAAACATCCGACAGCAGAATCTAAAGCTTATTACAGAGCTGAGTGAGTTTACTTTCTTTATTTAATATTTAAAGTAAAATGTACTGTTGTGACAACCTATTAGAAAATTGATTGTAATTAAATTGTTTAGATTTTTTTTATTTAGGTAAAAGTTCATATATCTCTTCTCCCTTTTTTAGACTTAATCTCATGCTTATTTTAGTAAGAAATAAATTGCAAAAAGGTTGTATAAATACTGTTTACAGTATTTATATTTTATCTAAGACAAGAAGTAAATCCTAAACATGTCTGTGTTTGCTTCTTTAATTTTATCTTTATTTTATGTAATTTGTATAATAAAGCTAAATACAAAGCCACTGGTTTAATGTTTTACAAAGGTGTGTATATTTTTGGTTTTCATGACATATAGTACTGAGTATACTGTTTTCAGCTTTTTCTTCATACCCACTCAGTGTAGGATTTTCTTAAATTAGCCTTCTACTCTTATTTTCTCTCCTAATATCCCTAATCTCCCAAGACAACATTCTTGTCTATTTATGTCTCCTAGTGACTATTACTTGGATTCCCCATAAGTAACTCAGAATTAGCATATCTACACCTAATCATCTTCTTTTCCCAACCAGTTCTGTCTTTGTACTTTTTTTTTATCAAGTAGATTACTATCCCGTGGTTACTCATGGAACAATATATAGATAAGTGCTTATTATTTTAAAAATATAAGAAAGAGTATAGTATTATTCTATTCCAAAATAAACTCCTGTTAACCGTCTGATTTGTATCTTTCCAAGTCCAGGTTTATTTTTCTGTCCCTCGTTTTACTGTCTTCCTCCTCTTCTCTTTTTAATGTTAATGGGATTCTGCTACACCTGGTGTTTTGTTTTGTTTTCTTGGTGGTGGTTTTTTGAGGCAGTGTCTCACTATGTATTTCAGGCTGGCCTCAAACTCATCGCCTCATCTAGCTATCTTCCCATTATTTATCTATGAAATATGTTACCTAGTAATCTTTAAAATAAAGTCCTGATTTCTTAGCCTGGTTTCCAAAGACTTATACCATTAATTACAACCAGTGGTTTTTTTCTTTATTCCACTAATCCTCTGATGCAGTAGTTTTATGCCCAACTCAGTTACCCTTCTGTGTTCTTCTTGAGTGCCCAAAGTACCTTTTTCACTTCAGAAATTCCTTGTTTTCTTTTCTTTCTTTTTTTTTCTTTCTAATGCCCTTGTCTCTTTCAGTTGTATAATAAATACTTACATGGGATCTTGACTTCCTTACTAGACTGTAGTTTCCTTTAGGTCACTTTATATCCCAGCATTTTTGGGTTTTTTTGGGGATCTTCCACAGAAGATAGGTGAGTGACCTTACTATTATAGATAGTCAAACAATTATTCACTCAATGTAAAAAAATTGTTTTAGATTTTTAAACGACTAGGTTAACAATTTTTTTATTTTATTTTAAAGCAAAAAAATTTCAAAACAAGGTAATAGGAGGGTAACAATGGTTAATACATTGTGTATTGTTATCTTTAAATTACTCAGCGTACAAGCTATCAGTATTTAATTGTCCAAACAATATTAGCACAAACCTTTCTTTTCATTGAACTGAGAGAAATTAGTAGTATAACTATCTTAACTCAGATTAACAAATTTTGAGTATAATTAACTTTCACTGGTAGAGGTTAACTGTTCTTACTGTGAGCTGATTTCTTCCATCTGTTCCTCCTTGTGAAGCACATACTTAGCGGTGATAACATAACTAAGCATTAATAAGTTTTATGAAGGTTCCAATTATAGTACAAATTTGAGTTTCTTTTTTATATATTAGAATAGATAGATTTCAGTGGAGGTCAGTTCAAACAGTTAGTACTTCAACAGATATATTTAAATTACTCATACCATGATTGTTCATGAAACAGTATAACTAAGGAAGGAAAAATTGATTATAAATGTGCTTATGTCATAAAAATTACACTAATACTCTGTTATATTATTGTTTTAAGATAAATGACTCACTAATTGGTATTTGAAATTAGAGGACTGAGTAATCAGATAGAACTCTTTCTTGTCCTCAGGGAGAATAGTAGACTACTCCCTAATGTGTATATATTGCCCATAAGCATTATGTAAAACTATCAGTGGCACAATATGAGATGCAGTAATCCCCACCTAGTAGCAAATTAGCTTTCTACAGTAGCATTAACCCTGAATAACATTTGGACTTAGAATTAGAAATTAAAATTTCTTCATAAATGTTGACATTATTTTAAAAACCTGACTATTAATATAATGATATTATATACATTCTTTTTTACATTATTTTTAAGTGAATGAAAAGAATACTCTTCAGGAAGAAAATAAAAAGCTTTCTGAACAACTGCAACAGAAAATTGAGTAAGTATTTTTCCTAAATTGGAACACAAAATATTTTCCTCCAGCTTTTCTTTCTTTGTTTTACTTAGCTATAAAAACTGAAAGTATCTTAAGAATTAAAGATTTCATTTAAAAAATTATAAAGTACTTTACAGTAAAAAGTACAAAGAATGCCAGGCACAGTTGTATCTATCCGTAGTGTGAGCTACTTAGCAGGCTGAGCCAGGAGTATCACAAGGTCCAACCCTGCCTGAGCAACTTAGCAAGATATTGTCTCAAAATTTAGAAATTAAAAAGACTGGGAATTAAAAAAAAAAAAGGCTGGGAATATAGCCCAGTGGCAAAGCATCCCTGGATTTGAGCCCTAGTACCACAAAAATAAATAGGTAAGTAGGGAGATAAGAAGAAAGGAAGGACGTAAAAGAAAAAAATCACTGTGTTTGTGTGTTCGAGGATATATATGAAGAATATGTGTGCATCTCTTCGGTTAGTGTTTGAGTAAACTAAGGAAATAGTATCTTCATTAAAGCCTTTTAATTTTTATGGAATTTATCATAAATAATATAGAAATTATCATAATAACTTATATTTCAAATAAATACTTCAGTTTTATTACTTCTGCTACTCTTTGTCCCAGAAGCTTCATAAAGCAAATTGAATGAGTTATACAGGCCTGCAGAACTTGCTCTTTCCTCTGTTCTTACCTCCTTTACCACATTGGTCTTTAAGAAGAAAAATATTTTATCCTGAATGCCAGTTACTCATATTATTTCTCACCCTCACTGCAATTTACAAATGGGGGACCAAAAGTTATAACTTACCTGTGATTCCACAGCTAGTAATAAGACCATCACTTAGATCCTGCTCTTTCTATTATGCAGTACTGTTACAGAAGTGACAGGAATACCCTTCTGAAAGGAATACCCTTCTGAAATAGTCTGACTGATTACAAGTAGAGATAGGGCTAGCTTCTTATTTATAAAGTATAGTTTTTAAATTTTTTTCTTTTTTTTTTTTGGAGATGAGATCTCACTATATTACCTAGAGAGACCTCATACTCCCTGTGTCAAATGATCCTCCTGGCCCAACCTCCCACGTAGCTGGCTATAGGCACACTGTAGTGCAGTGGCTATGTGTATGTGTGTGAGAGAGACAGACAGACAGGGAGGAGAGAGATAGGGAGCCCTAAGCTACATCCCTTGTCCCCTCCCCACCTTTTAAATTGTCCAGGCTGGTCTTGAACTTGTTATCCTCCAGAAGAACAGAGAATAAATGAGATTGCAGGAATGTGACCCCACACCTGGCTTGTAGTATTTTAATTTAGTATTCTGGATGATCCTGGTAGTGTTACAGAGTTCATAAAGATACTGTTGCATTTGTTTAGACATCTATAAAATCTTGGATAACCTGTGCAGATGTATAAACATGTCTCACTGGTGGAATTAACGTTCTTCATTTGTAGCAGTATACTTTTCGGTAATAGATGTTACAGTAGAATTCTGATATTTCTCCCACTTTGTCCTCTGAATACTGATAGCCAAAAGGAATTTTGAAGAGATAATAGATGAGTAAAGGAGGTTGTGCATCAGACTGAGGCTGTGTAAAAATGTTAGCACTCAATTATAGTCAAGCACTAAAATGGAAAGAGGCTAGAACACAGATTCATAGTCTTTTATAGATAATTCTAACACCCAAAAAGCTTTTTAAAAAATTTTATTCAGAACATAAGCTCATCAACTGCCAGGATGTTCTTTTTTTTTGTTTGTTTTTTGTTTTTTTGTTTTTTTTTGGTTTTTCTCTGGTACCGGGAACCGAACTCACGACCTTGCGCTTGCCAGGCAGGCGCTTTTGCCACTGAGCTAAATCCCCAGCCCCCAGGATGTTCTTTATAGTCTTTATCTCACTTAATGTATTTGTATGTTCTAATTTTAAAATATTTGATTATTGGATGGTGCCTTAGACCTCATTGGAAGTGTTATGTAATAATCTATATGTGCTTTGTACTGGTTTTCACTTTTAAAAATCTAAATTCTAATCTGAGATCAAGGATTTCTGTCAGTGATTGTTGAACTACATTAATTTATGTTATATGAAATGATTTAGCACATGTAACTTACAATATTTTGAGCAATATTTTAGTATTTGTATCTTGGTACTCATACATATCAAGGCTTATATTTATGAATACTTTGCTTTTTAGAATACCAAAGATAGATAATATAATAGGTATAGAGTAAGTATTAACAAAAGTAAGTAGATGATTGCCTTGGGACCCAAGATATATAAAGTACTTTGAAAGTAGATTGCCATTTGGCAAAAATACGAATTCTGATTAGTTTAAAATTTGTTTCTAGGATTCTCAATTTTTTTCCTGTTAAAGCTAATTGATGTTTTCAGGAAAAAAGTAAAAATTCAAGTAACAGCTAATCACATAGACAAACTCAGAGCATGTATATTTTCTTTAGGGCATGCTTAGTCAGAACAGTGTAGGAAATAGTCTATTATATCTTTCAGATCTTTCCTGAAATTTAAGATGGTTGTGATTCTCCTGAGCCAACTTCTTTTGTGACCTGCTCTCTTCAAACAAATTTCCTTTCTTTTGGCAGTTTTTTTAAAAATAGCAAGTATCAGCTTGTAAAGGCAGCCTCATTTGCTCTGACTACCTAAACCACCAGTGTTAGATGATTAGTGCCTGAAATTCCCCTTTCTTTAGAAAAAATGCTGACTTAGACTTCTGCTTGTTAAGTACAGTAATTCTAACTCACCTGGGCTGGCTTGCATGTTACAGGTATCTTATAGGGTAGGATAGCTATTTAGTGGCACTACAGTAAATTATCCAGTTTTTTAAAAATTGCCATTATCAGGTTAAAAATAAAGCAAAAAGAGAGTCAGTTCCACCAGTCAAAGAAAGCAAATAATTAAACAAAGTCTTGAGGTCATGACTGTACTGGGAAATGGATGTGGTAGCTCAGTGAAGGCTGCGGGAGTCACGGAAGATTTCAGAGGCCCGCATGTACAGGATGTAGAGGGAATCGTCACGTGCCTTCCCCAGGGCCAGTGTATGATAAAGCATCCCACAGAACAACTGGCTCGTGGCCTTCCTTTTAAAAATTAGTCTTGGGCTGGGGATTTAGCTCAGTGGCATAAGCGCCTGCCTGGCAAGCGCAATGTTGTGAGTTCAATCCCCAGTACCGCAAAAAAATAAATAAATAAATAAAATAAAAATTAGTCTTATTTAAATTATTTATACAGTAAATTTGCATTGATTCTAAGGAACCAAGGTATCAGACTCACTGGTTTGTGCTTTAGGGAATCTTTTTTTTTTTTTGGATTTTTTCCGGTACCGGGAACCGAACTCATGACCTTGCGCTTGCCAGGCAGGCACTGTGCCGCTGAGCTAAATCCCCAGCCCGCTTTAGGGAATCTTGATCACTTTTTAAAAATTAGAACATTTTAATGAACTTGATGGTTATAATATTGCTTCATTAAGTTTAAATTATATTTTAACTAGAAATGGAAATTCTTCAGGTAGTGAAAAACTGAATGTTAAAAACTTTTTTGCTGACTCCTTAGAATAGAAACCCTGGGTCCTTACAGATTCTGGGGTAAAAGACAACTAAAACAGTTTCGACAGGAATGTAAGAGGAAGCCTACAAATAAAACTACCAAAAAAATCTATTCTCAGGCTATCAGCAGGAAAAGGGAACAGAAGATTTAAAATGTGCATAATTAATATACCCACAAAGTAGGACATGAACTCTTTCAATTTTGGTCAAAATCAGGGTGAGTCCTAATGTTTTAAGGAATAAACTTGGTTAAGACAGAAGTTGTTTTTGTTTGTTTTCTTTTATTACAAGAGATGGCAGAACCTTCACCTGTTTACTTACTGAAGTTTTGGCGCTTCTAGTTAGAGCTAGTTTTGTTTTTTTGTATTTTGGGGTTTTTTTTTTTCCCTTTTGTCATCCTGGCTGCATCTAGATTGACTCTGCTAGGAAATGTTTCTTCATGTGACTCATTCATGTTTCAGGTTAAATTTTTATGACTACTAGGAAAGCAGGCTGTGTGTGATGTGATTAGCTAAAGCAAGGTCAGGTAGATTTCACACTCCATTAATTTCTAAGGCTTTCTCGTATGACTTTAACTTACTGTTTTTCCAGAATATGGGTAGAATTACAAGAAGATATTAAAGATTAGGTATTAACTCTATTGCACAGAATGGTAACTTTAATAGATAATGTCTTGTATATTTCAAATTTATTAGAAAAGTAGATTTTAAATGTTTTTACCCCATAAGTTTATGAAGTTATAAACTTATTAATTTGCTTTGTATAATTATCCCACAATGTAAACATACATCAAACTATCACATCAAATCTCATAAATATATACAAACACTATTTGTTCATTTAAAATAATCTGGGGCAAGCAGTGCTAGGAATCAAACCTAGGGCCTCACACATGCTATGTAAGTGCTTTACCACTAAGTTATGCTCCCCAGACCAAAATTAAAATTTAAAAAAATCAGACACTAGCTCTAAAGATTGTTCTAAGGAACAATATAGGATTGTAGACTACAAGTGACATTGATATTACCAGGAAATTTAAATATATATCTGTGTTAGGAAATGTTAATCTTTGTCCTCTAGTGATTCTTTTAAAATTTCTGTTGATCATAGTTTATAAAACTCTCATTATGTAGTTCTTTGAAATAGTATTACAAATTGATATTAGCATAATAGGACAAATTAATTTGGTCATGTAAAGAGTAAATGGCTGACAAACTGATAAGAATTGGTTGACTGATAAGGTCAGTAATGGTTTGGCATGAGAAAGTCAATTAATTTAATTTTACTTAATAATCAAAGTTAGTCAAAACCCAGTCTCTAGGTGCCATGCATTCTGAATTCATTTGGGCAAGAACACATATCTATATATTTCCTTAGGGAGTCTGGGAATGTCTCATTCATTCAGCAAATTGTCAGGCAGTGCCTGCTATACACCTGTTGTGGGTTTTTTTTGTTTGTTTGTTTGTTTTCCGGTACCGGGAATCGAACTCATGACCTTGCGCTTGCCAGGCAGGCACTGTGCCACTGAGCTAAATCCCCAGCCCCTATCACCTGTTGTGACTCATCACTAAAATGAAGGTCTTATCCTTAGAGCTTACATGCTAACAGGTGAAGAGTGGACGTAATAAATTGCATACTTGTTTGGAAAGCATGTACTAGTATAAAATAAATACAGCAGAATGACAAGGAACAGGAAACCGGGCTGTGGAACTGGAATTGTCGTTTTAAACATTAAAATTCCAGCAGAGATGTAACGGAGATGAGGTCATTAGCCGTGTCGATACCTGGGGAAAAGCAGATGAAACAACTGGAGCAAAGAACCTACGATAGGAGGGTGCTTAGCATGTTTTAGGAAACTCAGGAGTGTGGTGGGAGTAGAGCTGTGGAGGAGAGGTCAGGTCATGTCCTTTAGACACTGGTTTGTCTAAGTGAAATGGGCAGATGCAACAGGATTTTAATCAAATTTAACTGACGTGGTTGCGTTGTAATAGAAGACTACTGTGACCGTTCTCTTAAGATTGGAAGAGGCCTTGATGAAACGAGGGCAAGAAGCCTACTGTAGTCATAGGTTAGATTCATGATCTACAGGATAATATGTTGAGTTTAAAGATAGGGCCCCTGGGGTCTACCAAAAGTTAAATCGTGATTCCATTACTAGTGTAGTAAGGGACTTGTATGCCTTCATTTCCTCGGTTGTAAGATGGTAATTATAATATCTTACACAGTGTGATAAAGTAATGCAGGCAGCACTTTGAATAGTTACCAGCAATGTAAAATATAAAACAAAGTTTGGTGTAGTCATCAGTGTCAGTATTATCAAAGCCAGTGTTTGTTGTTTGCCAGGTCATGTTGATTATGCCACCATGGCTTTTAATATTGGTCCTTTCCTTTCCACGTGTGTTTGACAAGTGTTCTATTTCAAAGCACAAAAGCTCTTGCCTAAACTGTTACAGCCTGGGTCTAATTAACTGCCTTGCCTGCTTTCTTTTTGCCCCGTCCAGTTTTGTGTACAGCTGTTGCATTGTCTCCTCACTTCTGTGCCTCAGTTGCTTTCCTCCTGCTTCCTCAGTATGTGCACACTTACTCAAGGTTCCCCTTCCTGCAGCTCTCCTCTGCCCTTCTCCGCAGAAGCACACAGAACTGTGCGTTTTCACTTCCACTGTGTGGCTTCACTGGTCTTATTTGCCCCTTGGAGGACTTTTAATTTCATCTCACTTACCATCAACTGCAACTTCCTCTTGACTTTTCACAGTAACATTCCCTTCTTAGTTCTGTAATCATTTGCCTGCTTCCCTAATCCTTGGATTTGGACTGTTGAATGTAGGGATTAGATTTCTTGCATCTTCCTACTTGGATTCACACCATATAGTACATGGTTTAATAATATTTGTAGAATTCACTTTCTTTCAATTGTCATTTTCCTGTAGAAATGGTCAACAGCATCAAGCAGCTGAGCTTGAATGTGAGGAAAATATTATTCCAGATTCACCAATAACAGCCTTTTCATTTTCTGGCATTAACCGACTGCGAAGAAAGGAGAATCTCCATGTCCGATATGTAGAAAAAACAAATACTAAATTGGGGCATTCTGTGTGTACAAACGGTAAGGATTACAGTTACGTTTTAGTTTTCTGGTTTTTTGAAAAAGTATGCATTGTTTTTACACTGTTCAGTGTAGGGGAAAGAAGTTAGTCATTGTCCAGATAATCTTGGTACAACTGTGAGTTTAACTTCTGTTATAAAGTGAGAAGGCATTTTCTACCTGTATTATATATATGTTTTGCTTATATGAATATATAAATACTCAGCATTTTACAAATATAGTAGTTTCTTTCCCTTTTTTATTTAAAAAATATTCTTAGTTGCAGTACATGTCTGTAATACCAGTACTCCCAAACTAAAGTAGGAGAATCACGAGTTTGTAGCTAGTATGGGCAATTTAACAAGACCTCGTGTCAAAATTAAAAAAAAAGGTTGGGGATATAGCTCACTGGTAGAGTGCCCCTGAATGTGATTCCCAATTTCAAAACAGAATGAAACAAATCTTAAGTGTATGTATGTGAGTAGGCTCGAAGGAAAGATGAAACAAACTTCACATTAATTTTCACCTCCTGTATTACTCAGGTATTACTATGCTGAGTGATTTACATACATTATTACTATGTTTCAGTCCTCCTAGCAGACTTATGAAGCAGCTGTTAGCACCTTTGTTTTAGAGATCAGGAGAGAGATGTTTAGGAGATTAAAAACTCACTGAGGTAGGTAGATTTAGATTTAGATAAATCAGAATTTAGATACAGATCTTCCTGGCTCTAAACGTTTACATGTTACAGGTTTTGTCCATAGGTACTCCCGTCATTTGGAGCTTTCTTTAACTGGCTATTTTTACTTTTTATAATTTGTAACAGTTGGTAGAAATCTAGAAATGGATTTATAATATGTGTCCATTGTGCGTGATCAGTGACATTTCTTTTTATTTATTCATTTTTTTATTTTAAGGAGAAAAAATAACAATAAAACAATTTCAAAACAGGTTAATAGGGGAGTTACAATAATTAATGCATTGCATAATGTTGTCTTCATAGTAGTTACTCAGAGTACAAGATACGGGCATGATATCTTGTCCAGACAATATTAGCACAAACCTTTCTTTTCAGTGAACTAAGAGAAACTAGCTGTGTTAACTGTCTTAACTATCTTGTGTATAAATACATTTTTTCTTTTTCCCTTCCCTCGCTTCCCCTTTCTCCCATCACAGTTCGTCTTTTATTTTGAACAGTGTCTTCCCAGTTCACTGTAGTTATTATACATTTTGGATTTTATTTCTTCGTTCAGTTTCTCACACTAGTGAGACAATACGCTGCTTGCACATGGGTCTGACTCAGCGACTTATTTTTAATTCCAGCCCAGTTTACCATTTCTGCTAAATGATTTAAAACTACCTTTCATATAGCCCTGGAATTTATCATGTGACATAATACATTCATTATTCTTTTAATGTTAATCTAAAGTAAATGGTAAAAGCTAATTGTTAGATTAAAGTTTTGTAACAAAATATGTGGGTTAAAAGGATATGTGAAGTTCTAAGGATATTTGTGTGATTCTAATACATTGGAAGAGTAAGATTTTTATTGTTTAAAATTGGCACAGTTCCCTCATTTTATATGCGTTTGCATCACCATCTAGTGGGAAACAAAAGAACTGTTAAAAATCGTTATGTGATTAGGAGCTAAATGAAAATATAAGGACCTAGATCTTGAAATAACAGGACCTATCAGTCATGAATCATTATAATCATATGTATAATTTAGATCATGTTTAAATTCATGAATATGAATATCCAAAAAACAGTGCACAATTTTCTTCATTAGGAAAGTCATCTTTTGTATCCCCATAAATGCTTCCTTTGGCTTATTTCCTCATTGTATGAGAGCAGTATATAACTATTTAAAAACTTAATTGGTTTGTTATTTTAGTATTGTTCTCATCACTTTTTATTTGGAATCTGAAATTTTGGTTTTAAGATATATGTGTTGGGCTAATTGTAAATTAGCTGAAAATAACTTTCAAATAGTTTAATGACCAGTTAGTCTTGTTTTTGTTCTAACCATATTTGCTTAAAGTTTACAGTATTTTTAAATATTACTTTCAAGTTATAATTAAAGTAAAACTCTATTTTCCTTTACTTTGGCCTTTTAGTTTTCTTTGAATTAAATCTTTATAAACAGTAAAAAATATTTCTGGTAAAACTTGTTTCAGGGTTTCTTTATAGAAAATAAAAACCCTAAAATAAAGATTATGGAGATGTATGAAGTAGTAAACATTAAATTAACCTGCTAATTTGTAACTGATACACAAGGGGAAAAAAACATTAAAATGTTACTGTTCAGGTACCTCGTCTAAGCAGAAAAACTTGTCTCTTCTAGTCTTCTGTCACTTGTTGTCCTAACTTGCAGCTTTGTTGCTTAGTGAAACTAAAGAAGCTTCTTAAACTATAAGAATTATGTCGATAAAATAGTTTTTGTAACACTTTAACAACAGGTTTCTCTTGGCTTTCAGAATAATATTTTGATAATGTTTGTCATCATTATTGTTTGTTTTTCATGTAATCTTTTTTTTCCCTTAGAATTAAGAAAAGTTTCCAAGGCTTCAACTCATTTACAGCATAGCTCTAGTGAAAATGAAATTCTAGTCGCTGACACTTGTGATCAAAGCGAAGCTCCAGCAGCTAGTAAGATTTTGAAATTACCTTTATAAGTTTAAAATACATGGTTATTGGTAAGCAAGAGCAACCAATGGAATTGGACTGTATTTTAGAGATTTTTTTCATATAATTGTGCTTTTATTATTAGTTGTTTAGAAGGCTTTTCATATTGGAGAGTAATGTTAGTATTCATTCATGTTAATATCAATATTAATACAAATTGGTACTGATTTAGATAAGGAAGGCTTTATGTAGTTTACTCATTCATTCAACAAATAATAATATACCAGGCAATGAACAGAATAAAACTCTTGATCATGTAGAGTTTACAGTCTAGTTGGGGAATAAAGAAAATAAATATGTCAAATAGAATCAGGTACTCAGAAGAGAAATGAAGCAGGATAAGAGGAGTATTAGAAAGTCTCAGTCATAAAGTGACCTTAGAGCAGAGACTGGGGAAAGTGTGGGGTGTCTGGCAGAGCAACATCACAGAGAGAGTGCCTGTCAGTATGTTGAGGGATGTCAGGAAGCCAGTATGGCTGGAGCAGAGTGAGTGAGGAGGAGAGTGCTTGGAGAATGAGAAGACTGGAGCTGCAAGTTAGTAAGACAGAAGAGACTAGAAGCAGGATATTCAGATAGATATTTTGGGTGAGCATGTGGATGTAAATTCAAGTTTAGAGAAGTTTAGGGTGGAGATCCATGTGGAACTTGTCCATGTAATATCCAAAACCAGAGAGCTAGATGAAATTACCAAGCAAGTCAGTGTAAATGGGGAAGAGAAGTTCCAGCATATGTGTGCTTGATTTTCTTTTATGGTACTGGGGATAGAGAGAGAGCAAGCACATCTGCACAGCCTGGCTTCCACTCGCTGTACTAGAACTTCGAGCAGAAGTCATGAGTGTTGATGTTCCCCAATGTATATGGGCCTATTTTTGTCTTACTTGTTCTCTTTCTGGAGGGATCTTACCTAGAATTAGTGCTCTGCTACCACCCATATGCTAATAAGATCTGCATCTAGGACTTTTCCTCTGGATTCCAAGCCAGATGTGCTTTCACATGTCTGGGCCCTTGCACAACATATGTAGACTCTTTACCTTCCATAGTTAACCTGCCAAGCTCCTCATACTCGTGTCAGCTTAAGTATCACTTGTATAGCTTGCCTTGATTTCCCAATGCAAATTAATGGGTCTTTCTATGTTTAAATCACCCTTTATATTACCTTTAATGTGTTTATCTCGCTCCGCTGCAGTTCTGTTTAACTTTCTGTTGTAGTCCATAGCTTTTTAAGAATAAAAATGTCTTCTTTTCACACAGTGCATAGCACAGTGCCTGGAACTAGTAGGGGCTCTATAAATACTTGCTAAGTTATAGAAACTGCACAGAACTTTATAAAACACCTGCGTATACGTGATTCTTGTTTAACTAGGTTACCTAAAAGTTAAAAATTGTGCAGTTCTGAAAACCTCTCTCCTATATTCATGAAAGATACTATAAATATGGTTTACTATTTCTCCTATACCTTAATTTGCTATAAATCCATTTTATGATCCCTTTTATACTAATAAAAAATATTACCTATTGGATTCAATTCATTTAGGAAAAATAGAAAACTTAACTGAAAAAGTTTAGCTAGTGCATATGCAAAATACCTGCAGCTTATTGTATATCCTAATAGATACTTTGGATTTTTTAACAGAATTCAGAAATTTGTCCAATGCCATTTTATATTGGTTCTGTGAACCTTTGCTTTCCATTTATATAATTTTTTATACATGTAATTTTATACATGTAATTTATAATTATTTTTTTCTTTCTTAGAAATACGTGGAATAAGCAGTTGTCCCACTGATAAGTCATCTTTTAATTTAGCTACAGTTGTTGCTGAAACACTTGGACTTGGTGTTGAAGAGGAATCTGTAAGTAATACTCACTTTGATGACAGTTAATTAATTGATATGTCCATTTAGAGCCATGCTTAGAGAATTGAGCAAGAGAAAAATTATTTTATCCAAAGATTATTGAATAAAGGCCTTAAACAAAGCTATGTTTGGAAAGCCCATTTATAGTATCTACTCCAAGGCAGTCCCAGAAACCTAGGCTTTAGAATTCTTGGGATCTGGGGTTGAGTCAGAATTACAGTAGAGGAATTACGGCATAGTGGATTTATTATTATTTATTATTCCCTTCCTCCTGTCTTCTCTCTGTCCACTCTCATTCTACCTAAAAGAAAACCTAAACCCTCAAATTGATTTCAGAATTTATTGGGTCTTTTTAGTGTCCATGACAGAGAAATCTGATGTGAAAAACAGGCTGAATTGCTACTACCAAGAACTACTGATTCAATTAAACCTAATTCTTAGGGACTGAGTCAGAGTAGCCCCGTTACGTTTTCAGTGTCTTAGAATAGTACTTCCTTACATCCAGTATATTTACTGGAGTTTTTTGTTTCTTTCTTGTTAGATCCTGCTGTGGTTTGTGTCTAGATGTCCCCCCAGAGCCTTATGTAGTCATAGGGCTTTTTCAGAGGTGGCTGAATCTAAAGTGTACTGGGATTAAGGATGTGTGATTAGTAAATCAGTCCATTGATTGGGTTAGTGTAGTTCTGGCTGAGATTAAGGGTATGAGTGCTACACCTGCTTTAGACAGGTAGCCTGCATACAGTATAAGGGACAGAGTCTTGTCTCCTTTCCCTTGTTACTTATGCTGTCTTGTCTGCCAAACCACCCTGCCTTGGAGCCGGCTGATTATGGACTGAAATGCCTCCAAAGTGAGCCAAATCAACCTTTCCTCCTCTAACTTTGGGTGTTGGGTGTTTTATCTCAGCATTGAGAAAAGTAACTAAGACAGATCCCTAGGAAATAGAAAACTTCTTCAATCTTCAATTCTGGTTTGACACAATCTCAAAATAGTATTCATTTGCTTAAATCAGTAAACGTACATATGCAGCCGGGCATGGTGGCACACGCCTGTAATCCCAGTACTTGGGAGGCTGAAGTAGGAGGATCGGTGCAAGTTCAAGGCCAGCTTGGGCTACAAAGTGAGCTCAAGGCCAGCCTGAACTGCATAGCGAGACCCTGTCTCAAAAAGACAAAAAAAAGAGAAAAAAGTAAATGTACATGTGCTCTGTAAAGTTGTCTTGCTGTTGAGTTTGTGAAATTTGAATTTTTTTTTTTATTAAACAGTAATTGGGTTTTTGTCCTTCTTAAATCCTTCTTTGTCCTTCTTAAATCCTCCTTTCCTGCTGTTTTATTTTTTTTTGCTGCTGGGAATTGAACCTGGGGCCTTTGCATCCACACCCTGCCACTCAGCTAAAATCCCACCCTTACATTCCTTGTTGATGGCACAAAGTACCCAACAGTGCAGTTTAAAGGAGAGGTTTTCAGGGGGTCGTTTTGCTTTATTAGTGTATGTTTGCAGTACATGAAGTGTATGTTCATCTTGCAGAGTGCGTGCGAGTACGTAACACAGCTTCTTTTCAGTCACCTCACCTTCCCCCCACCACCCTCCCTCTGCCTCCAAATCCCCTTTTTTGTTATTGTTATTATTATTTTTGGTTCATGTTTATGACATACAATGTTTACATTCATGCTTTAGTACATGTACATGACATATTTCAAAATCTTCCTCCATCTCCTTCTCCTTCCCCCCGCCCTCACCCTCTGTCTCCTAGACCCCTCCACATTTGCAAATGATCTGTCTCCTCTTTTCCCTCCATCAGTCCTTTATTTTGTTCTTTATTTGTACTTCGTCTCACTCAAATGGGAGATAACCATTTGGTATTTAAGCTTGAAGAGGGGTTTATTTCGGCTTACGGTTGCAGTCCATGGTAAGCCAATTCCAAGCCAGAAAGGGGAAGGGCCTTGGAGGAGGCATCCAGGGAACAGAGAGAGAAGGGTAGAGCAGAGGCTGGAGATGACACCCTTCCAGGCCCCGCCCCAGTGATAGGTCTCCCTGCTGCCACCACCAGCCCCCACCTCCTAACAGCAGCTTCGCTGTAGCCCCACCCTGGTCATCTTTTTCCAGAGCCCTGCCTGTGAGTACATGAGGCCTCTGGAGGACATTCTCAGTGTAACCATAGCAGACTTACTTCTTAGGAACTGAGTCAGATGGGCCCCATCATGTTTTCAGTAGTTTAGTACGTACTTACATGAGGCATGTTTACTTTTTTTATTGGTCCCTAGAAAATAGAAAACTTGAATTCTTCCATCTTAAGTTCTGTTTTGACACAGTTTTAAAATAGCATTCCTTCACTTTAGCTAGTAAATGTGTATGTGCTTTTATAAAGTTGTCTTACTGATGAATTTCTAAAAATTGGTTTTTTCTATTTTGGCTTCTATCCTTTTAAAATCCATCCTCACAGGTATGGGGACACATGCCTGTAATCCTAGCTGCTCAAGAAGAATGGGTAGACCAGTTGCAATTTTGAGGTAGTCTGGGCAACTTAGGGAGACCCTGTCTCAAAGAAAAAGCAGTAAAGGCTGAGGATGTACCCCTGTGGTAGAGCTTCCCTGGATTCAATCCCTGGTGCTACACACATCCTCAAATAGTAATAGGTAGTTTTTCACCTTTGTACTTTAAATGTATTTTATCGATTTGTAATTCCCTGCTACTTAGGAGTCTAGCAATTTAGATATCAGATGAGTTAAGGGAGCTGAAATCTGAGGACTTGCTGCTTATAGTGTGAGTCATAGGCCAACAGCATCTGATCACTTTTGAAGCTGTTAGAGGTACAGAATCCAGACCTACTGAACTTGCATGTAACAAGATCCCCAATAGACTTGTATGTATGTTAAAATTTTAGAAGCACTGCTTTCTAAAGGATCCTTTTAAATTTATCTGTGTTCTGTTCCCCTCATGTTAATATTGGTATTTGGAATTGCAGTTTTATATACCAGTAATAGAATATACTTACATAAATATTAAAATGTTGATGGTTTTTTGCTTTAAACTTAATACAGTTCATATTTTTATTGTGATGAAATTCAAATGACATAAAATTAATCATTTTAAAGTGTGCAGCTCATTCAAGGCAGGGATGGTGATGCCAGCCTATAATGCCAAGCATTCTAGGAGGCTGAGACAGAAGGATTGCAAGTTTGAGCCTAGACTGGGCAATTTAAGCATCTTGGCAAGACCTTGTTTCAAAATTAAAAATTAATTTGAGAGGCTAAGGATGTAGCCCAATGTGAAAGCCCTGGGGAATGAACTCAGTATTGCAAAAATAAATAACTAAACTGTACAATTTAGAGATATTTAGTATATTTGTAATATTACACAACTACCACCTTTTTAAGGATGAGTAACATTCCACGGTGTGAGCATGCCTCATATTTTACTATTGAAGGAATCTCAGAGTCCCATGAGCCCTCTTGGTGATGAGCTGTACAACTCTCTGGAAGGAGATCACAAGAAACAATCTTTTGAGGAATCCATGAGAAATTCTGAAGATAGTTTAAGGTAATTTGGGGCACTTTGGTGAAAACTTGTAACTACTGTTGAACTCCCATTAGAATTAAACCATTTCGCTAGGCATGGTAGCACATGCCTGCAATCCCAGCACTCAGGAGGCTGAAGCAGGAGGACTGTCACAGGTTCAGGGCCAGCCTGAACTACATAGTGAAACCTTGTCTCAAAAAAAAAGAATTGAACCATTTCATTAAACCCTTTTCCCACTCAGCATGGAGTTTGTTATTCTGGCTATATTTTTATTGTGAAAAATGTCTCTCCATTTTATGAGCTCTTTTGCATTATAGTAGAGAAGTAGGCGTTATTTTTAAATCCTTTTTGTAATCACCACGCATTAGGCTATTAAAGAGCTCCCAGTCTTTTATTCTGCCCCTTTCAAGGCCCAGCCATCCTTTCTGTGTTTGTTGCCAAATCCTTCATGTTATACAAAGGACATCTATAAACTAGATGAATTTCTAAGATCATATTTCATCTCATTACTAATTTCATCTGTCATCATGGTAACCCATAAATGTAAGGTTTAGTACTCCCTCTCCTTTTTTATTTCCTTTACAGATGTCAAAAATGCAGCCCCTGAGAGTAAATGTCTTCTTAAAGTCACATAGATGTTAAGTACTAGACCCAGAGCTCTTAGCCATTCCCTACTAGAGGAAGTGTGACGCATTCCTTACACTTAGGCCTAGTGTTCTTTCTGTAGCTTTCTGCTTCGCTAGAGACAGCTGAGTTTGATTCTGTACTTTAAGAGTTTTGGGGTTGGAGATGTAGTCCCATAGTACGCTGCTTGCTTAGCAAGCAGGATTCCTGGTTTGATCCTAAATACTGGGAAAAATAAGAAACCAAGAATTTTTTCCTTGAAATTCTTTAATCTTTTTTATGTAATGAAGTTATTTAAATTACTTAAGAAAAAAAATTAGGAATATTAGAGTATTGAGACATGTTTCCTGTATCATTTCCCTCAGCTTTTTGTTTCCCAAATGAAGAGGCTCACAGTTATACTGAATCTTAAATTTTGGTTAATCATCTGCCTATAATAGAGAAAACTTCACTATTCCACGTCAAGCAAAGGTTTTTTTCATTGTGCTTGTCTTTTAATTTTTACCATACTTCTTTAGTATGAAAAAAGTTGTCTTACTCTTTATTTATTTAGATTTTCAGATTCTACTTCAAAGACTCCACCTCAAGAATTGGCCACTCGGGTGTCATCTCCTGTGTTTCCATCTCCTGTGTTTGTACCTACATCTAATGTGAAAAGTGGTTTGGGTTTGAATACAAGTTTGTCCCCTTCTCTTTTAAGCACTGGGAAGCAAAGCCATCCCAAGACAATCCCTTTCAGCAGCACTTCTACATCTAGGTCAGAGAAAACTAGATCAAAATCTGAAGATAGTGCCCTTTTCACACATCATAGTCTTGGGTCTGAAGTGAACAAGGGCATTAGCCAGTCATCTTCTAGCAAGCAGATTCTTAAAAATATAAGTGAATCCATAAATGAACAGGCTATTACTGATCGCACTAAAGATGCTGTTACTGATAAACATATAGTGTCCCTGAAATCATTGGGAGGCAGAACATCCAAAAGGAAGAAAACTGAGGATGAAAGTGAACATGAAGTAAGCTGCCCTCAAGCTTCCTTTGATAAAGAAAATTCTCTTCCTTTTCCAATGGATAATCAGTTTTCCATGAATGGGGACCACGTAATGGACAAACCTCTGGATCTCTCGGATCGGTTTTCAGCTATCCAGCGTCAAGAGAAAAGCCAAGGAAATGAGACTTCCAAAAACAGATTTAAGCAAGTGACTCTTTATGAAGCTTTTAAGCCCATTCCAAAGGGCTCTTCCTCAAGCCATAAGGCTTTGGATGGGAGCTGCCTGGTACCCAGAGATTCCCCGGAGGAGTCCTGTTTACAGGAGTGCGTCCGCCAGTCTTTGCGCAAATCCCCTCCAGACAGTAAAACACCATTACCTATAAAAGAAGAAAATTCCATCTTCAAAATCCCTGTGCGTCCACAAGGAGATTTGGAGACAGAGAATCATTTTGATGATAGGAAGGTTTGTGTTAAATATTTAAGGATTTTGATTAAAATCACTTTTTGTGGTTTCATCTAGATGCTAATAATCATTTCTATCTAGGGTGCTGGTTCTAATGAGCCAATAAAAGTAAAAACCAGGTCAGTCCATGGAGGATGTGAACTTGCATCAGTTCTTCAGTTAAATCCCTGCAGAATTGCCAAAACAAAGCCTAACAACAACCAAGGTATGTGCCCTACAAATAGAATTTCTACTGTTCTTTAATGACTTTGAATTGGATACTTACATATTTTGAGTAGATTAGATTGTATGGGAAATTTTTAAGTGTTTCTTCCCTGCCTGTTGGTGTTTATAAGATGATTCTCATTGGTTCCATTTTACTTGTGAATTTTCTCCTTTTGCGCTATTTAAAAAAGGAGTTGAAATATTTTGGTATCTGCTTTTATAGGTCCTTTTGTAGCCTGATTTTTTTGTAGTTATTTTTTATTTCCTTCATGGAAGCTTTTAAAATTCAAACTATACAGAATTTTAAAAATAAAAATAATCATCCAAATCTTATTTCTCATTCTATAAGTAATTTGTCCTTTTTATTTCATTTACATGTTTATGTATAAACATGAATATATACATTACTTATATAGGTTTTTAAACTTATAAATATTATTTGCCTATATGTATATATATATACGTCTTATAATTTTACTGTATGTATTTCAAAGGAGTCCTTTTGTTTTTTTCAGCCACCAAATACTTCTATAATTCATATGCACTATTTTTCATTTTTTCTTCATTGGCAATTTATTCTTTCATTCTGGGCTTGCTTTTCCTTTTTTCCAGAAGCATATTCTTTATTTGTTCTTCCAGCATGAAAACATGTTTTTTGCTTTCATTCCTAATTTTTTTCCTTTTTTTTTCTTTTGTTAATTTCTTCTTTACTGCCGTAAGGGTTTTAATAAAATGCCTGTTTAACTTTGCACAGTTTGCCTAGAGTTACTGTCATACTACTTCATGTCCTACAGCTACACTTCATGTACTTGTTATATCTTATATTTACATACAGTACACTCAGAACCCTTCCAGGCAATGTTATATTATTAACAGTTTGAAAATATTTTTGTTGAAATGTAGCTTACACCATAAATATCCACCATTAAAGTTTCCAATTCAGTGCTTTTGGCAAATTCGGGGTTTCTCCAGCTGTCACTATAGTCTTAAGTGTGGAACAGGCACCACCCTCTGCTGATCTCCCTCCTCCCGGTCCTGGGCACCACTCATCTCTTTTTTGTCTCCATAACTTAACTGTTTTCAAGATTTCATATAAATGGAGTCCTGTGATGTGTAGTCGTTTGTGATTCACCTCTTTCACTCAGTACATTGTCTTCCATTTTCATCCATATCATAGCATACACTGATATTTCTTCATTCCTTTTTACTGTTGAATGACATTGTATACCAGATTTTTCATCAGTTAATAGAAATAATTGTTCCTACTTTTTGTTATTATGAGTAATACTGCTCTGAACACTTGATAGAAGTTTTGTGTGGCTGTTTTCATTTTTTTCTTTGTACATAGCAGTGGAATTTCTGGACCCTGTACCAACTCTGTATTTACACTTTCGGGAGCTGCCAGTTTTCCAAAGGAGCTATGTACCATTTTACATTCGCACCGGCAGTGTGCATGGGTTGCAGTTTCTCACATCTTCACCAACATTTGCTATCTTTCATCCTGATTCTAGCTGTCTTTGTATATGTGACGCAGTATCTCATTATGATTTTGCATTTTTCTGAGGGCAAATGATGTTGAGTATCTTTTTATATATTTATTGGCTAGTTAGACTGTCTATTCTGAGCCTTTTCCTATTTTTTCATTTGGAAAATTTACGTTTTCATATTGTGAGCATTCTTATATATCCTAGGCACAAGTCTTTTACCAGACTTGGGATTAGCAAAAAAATTTCTCCCATTCTGTAGGTCTCCGAACTTTTTAAAGTGATGAGAATTTTCAAAATCTATTTTTAATTGCATTTTTTTTTTCCTTATCTAAGATGCATCCTTTGAAAATATCCAGTGGAGTGTAGATCCAGGAGCAGATCTTTCTCAGTATAAAATGGATATTACTGTAATAGATACAAAGGTAAAGTAAATAATAAAGCCAAAACCCATTTCTTCTTCTAGTGAATTGTTAGTGAGCTTTCCCTTCTGATTTACTCTGTGACCTTTATTCAGATACTTCTTAAAACCTACATTTATTTATTCAGAAAACAAAGAAACAGAGATGCTTATTCTTCAAACCTTACGGCTTTTTGAAAAGATATTTGTGCCTTTAAAGGCCTTTATTAAAAAGCATTCACATCATTTTTTAAAATAATACAAACTTCTAGTTATATGTTTTAAAATTATTTTTATGAAATAATCCTAATGCTGTGATTAGATTTAGAGTAATAACCTATGGGGAAAAATTTATTTTCCCTATTGACTACTTTTTTAAGCACTGCATTTTTTAAAAAGAAAAGTCATAGTGGAAGTACTTTTTTGCCTTAAATATAGCTTCTATGGTTTGAGAAGTTCCCTTTCACTTGGTAACATATTAATAACAATGCATTTAACAGTTGTTGAAGTAATATATGCCCATTAAGAAACCAAATTTAAGCTGAGTATGGTGTTACATGCCTGTAATCGTAGCACTTGGGAGGTTGAGGCAGAAGGATTGCCGTGAGCTTAAGGCCACCTTGGGCTACATAGCAAATTCAAGGCCAGCCTGTACTACATAGTGAGACCTTGTCTCAAAAAAAAACCAAAAAAAGAAATCTAATTTGATTACTGGAATCATTATGTTAGTTGTACATTATTGTTTATTACTGTGAGGCAGATTGGGAAAGATTCAGGACAAGTTCAAGGGAGTTCTGTGATACATGGATCTCCCTTCCATTGACAGGAGTCTTCCTTTTCCTAGGCTGTGATACTTGCACGTTACTGTGGTATGTTTTATAGTCCGTAAAGCCAGACTCTCTGTTCCCAAAGTATGAAAACAAATACAACTTAATGCTTAAAAATAGAAAAATGTATGTGTATTTTACCAGAATTTTTGGTAAAACTATAAATATAAGACCAAAAACAAATAATTATTAAAATTTTGGATTTTAGGATGACAGTCAGTCAAGATTAGGAGGAGAGACAGTAGACATGGACTGTACTTTGGTCAGTGAAAGTTTGCTCTTAAAGGTGAAGAAACAAGAGCAAAAAGGAGAAAAAAGTCCAAGTAAGATTTGCTTTTTCAAAATTTTAATAAAAATGTGGAGTGGTCATGATGGCGCACACCTGTAATCCCAGCACTTGGGAGGTTGAAGCAGGAGGATTACCACGAGTTTGAGGCTAGCCTGGGCTACATAGTGAGTTCAAAGCCAGCCTCGACTACATAGTGAGACCTTGTCTCAAAAAAAAAAAGTGGAATGAAGTTTGTGTTTATACCATTGTACTGATTAACAGTAAACTCTGTATTGTTGTTAGGGTTCATGTGTAGATGTCCCCTCAAGTGGTCAAAGGTGGGGCTTTTTAGAGGTGGCTAGATCCAGAGTCTGACACTGGGATTGATTCATGGTGCAGTGCTGGGACTAAGGGTTTGAGTGCTGCCCACCCTAAAGGCAGGTAGCCTGGATAGGATACAAAGGACAGAAAGAAGCTTGTCAACTGTTGTTGCTGCTGCTTGTCTTCTACTCTGTAATGCCCCTCTGCCCTTGCCGTCCTGCCTTGGAGCCAGCTGATCATGAACTAAAACTTCTGGAACTGTGAGCCACAGTAAACTTTTCCTCCTTTAACTTTGGGTGTTGGGCAGCGACGAAAGTAAGACATAGGCTTCTTTTCCCTGCTGTTACTTTCATATTCCTTTTAAGAAAGTTTAATTTCAGTGTTTCAGAAAAAAAAACTTTAGCCAGAATAGTTTTATTTCAGAAACAATTCAGATTATTTCCAGGGATCAGCAGGCTACAGCCCCTGCCAGTTTTTTGTGATCGGCCTCATCTCTTCGTGTTGCCTGGGGCTGCTTGCTCCAAAGATAGAATTGGATAGTTGATGCAGAACCCTCATAGCTCCACAGGCCTATTTTACTTTCTGACCTTTTAAGGCAAAGTTGCTCATTGCTAGATTTAGGTAATTTTCATAAAGAAGGAGGGGATCTGAAGAGTCCATGTGTCTCAGTCACTTTGTCTTCACTGGGACACAGTCCTTTGACATCCACAGTTTAAGGGAGAGGTTTATTTTGGCTTACATTTTCAGTCCACATTCTGCTGGCTCCAAGGCAGGACAGAATGGCAGAGGGGGATAGTGAAAATTTAATTCTTCACCTAAAACCATGCTTTTCCTACAGTGGTGGGAACAATAAAAGGGCTTTGGTTACACTGCCTTCCTAACATTTCTAGCTATACCGTCATGAAAACAATTTGACTGATGGCAGTTGCCATTTATCACCCTCACAGACTAAAGGGTTAGGGCCCGCGCATGGGGTTGCACTGCCAAAAGTAGAGGCATTTCCCAGCCATCGTCTGATAGCAGCTGCGTACATTCGTGCTGGACGTCCATTCCGTGTCTTCCATTTTCTGTAGACTACCTACGTAGAGTTCAGAAACCAGACAGCCAGTCTTGCCTGGCTTCTTCGGAATCAAGTGAGAAAATTCCGATGCCCTTTACCTTACGTCTTTGTCCTTTAGATATGATGAAGCAGATGACTGTCAGCGTCACACTGTGAAAACAGCTTGTGGGATAGGAGACATTGTTGAGGCCTTATTTTGGAAAAATAAGTCTGCCCTATACAGTAAAACCTTTTTCACACTTAGAATTGGTTCACATGAAATATACCAAGGAAAACTCAATTACTGCTAATATTTTAATTCAAAAAGTTTTTCTAGAAGCCAGGCATGGTGTCTTCCCAGCTACTGAAGAGGCTAAGGTGGGAAAAATCACAAGTCTGAGGCCAGCCTGGGCAACTTAGCAAGACTTTTATCAGAAAGCAAAAAGTTTTAAAGGGCTGAGGGTATAGATGAGTGGTAGAGCCCTTGCATAGCATGTGGAAGACCCTGGTGTTACCTGCCAGGGCTCCATTGGGCCCAGATCCTGGCCCCGGCTCTCCGGGTCTCTGGGTTTCTGGATTTGTTTGCCTGCCCCCAAACAAGAGTATGAGAAAAGTCCATTAAAAAAATGGAAAGGTGAGGAATTTTTCACCTGTAAATTGAGCTTGTTTAATCTTTGAGACCCTTGGGAATTTTTTGGAGTGAGTTTTCTGGAAGGGAAAAAAAGCATTGTAACCTTAGGTAGTTTTATATTCTGAAGCTGTGGTTTTTCTTAAAAGTACAATTTTTGTATTACGATTTTCCCTGGATTGGGAGAAGTGGCGGTTACTTGATACAGAGTCATCTTTGGCCACTGTTCTGTTCTTTTTGTTAGCCAACTCAACTTGTTTCTGATTTTTCTTTAACTCTGGTTTTTTGTCGTCACTTGTTCTTGAGAGGGTCTTGCTAAACTTTCCAGGTTAGGCTAAACTTGCAGTCCTCCTGCTTTCGCCTCCCAGAGTGCTGGGGAGCGTGTGCCACCTCACCCCACCAAGCTCTGGTGTTTTTAAATACATGATTATATAATGGGAAATGTTAGAGCTTCAAAGACGCCTTTAGCACTTTCACACATTACATAGGGCATTAAATTCATTTTTTTCTTTCAGTTTTTAATAACCAGATGCAAATGATAATGCAAGAAAACCTTTTTGCTTCATTAGAAAAATAAAACAAGTAAAATGCTAGACCACAATGTCCCTTTTTGTTTAAACTTAGTATTTGTCATTATTTATTATGATATATTTTCATTTCCTCACAGATTCATTAGTAAGACTTCTTTTGGTTTGTATGAATTATACAGGAGCTGATAGGGAAAAAAATCGTAATATTTGTAAGGGGTTTAGTTATATGACAGTAACAAGAAACTCAGCATTCTTTTCACATGAGTAAAGGACAGTTAAAGTCTTAACATTAACTTCCAAGGTGTAAGAGTATTCTTGCCTCATGTACCAGATGTAAGAATTAAACCTTGTTTTTAAAAATCATGACTCAAGAATTGTCTTGATTACTTCATTATGTGTATTACAGTTTCTTATTGAGTCACTGAGTTAATACTTACAAGATAACTTACAACTAACATTTTTTAGAATCATGTTTTCTAACATGTCCGCAGACATTTCACTACTTACATGTATTCATTGAAAGTAATCTCTTCACAACTAAGCCTAAAACCTGTATTATAGTAATATTTTAAGAATTTCTTTAAACGCTTCACTGCATATAGTTTTTTACCCTCTTACATTCACTGCATTAAGACTCTTTAAAAGCTTTAACAAGACAGCTTTCAAGTGATTTTTTGGGAAGTGATGGTGGTACTGGAGTTGAGCCGAGGGCCTTCACACTGAACTATACTCCAGCCATTTTTTGTTTTCTTTTTAATAGGCCAGAGTCTCACCAAGTTGCTGAGTTGCCAGGCTGGATTTGATCTTGTGAACCTCCTGCTTCAGCCTCCCAGGGTGCTGGGGTTGTGGGGCTGCCACCATTCTTGGCTAAACTGGCATTTCATCTTTCACACATGTGTCTACAGAGACTTAACACATGTATTCACTGACAGAACACCCTTCAGAGTTAAACTTGTAGCCCACATATAAGACTCACATTTTAAAGAAGTGTCTTAAAAGACCTCATTGCATTATTTTCTGGCAGTTAATAGTTTAATGTTAGTCTACATGAAAAACAAAAATCTTGCTTTTTGCTCTATGCTCTTTTTTATATAGATAGAGAAAGAAAGATGAGTGATACCTTGGAAGATATGTTTGATCGGACAACACATGAAGAGTACGAATCTTGTTTGGCAGACAGTTTCCCCCAGGTGGTAAATGAGTTGGAGGAGTTACCTGCTGCCGTAAGGGGACCAACTGGTAAGACTTCTTTCTCTTTAATTATGACTTCTCCGTTATGCTGAATTCAGCTAGTTAAGACATCAGGGTAAGTAACAGGTTTACAAGGGTTTGTTAACAAGGGTTTTATGTAAATTTCTTTATTATTGTTTATTTTGAAATAATTTCAAACTAAGAGTTCCAAAAAGTAGTTCTCCTATACCTTTCCTGCAGCTTCCCTTTATGTTAACATCTTACATAACCATGAAATATTTATGAGAACAAAGAAATTAATCTTGGTGTTCATTGTTATGAATTTCTTTATAACATATACATAAAGTTTTTTAAAGTTTTGAGCAATTCCTGTTAATAATTGCAATAGAAAAAGATAGTCTTGCAGAAAATTTACACCCATTTTCTACTACAAATGCTTGCTTTATCCTTCCAGACTAAATACCTACTATCAGTTCACTTCTCAGCAGCCACCACCCTAGTCTTAAACTACTGCTATCTCACCTGTTGTACTGCAAGCCTCTGAACTGGTCTTTTCATACCAATTATTTCTCCTGTCCAGTCTCTGCTCTTACAGAGTGTCCGTAGGGATCTATTTTAAATGTAAATTAGATTGTGTTGCCTTTTTGCTTAAAAACTCTTCAATGAGGCAGCGTATTGTGGCACATGCCTGTAATCCCAGCACCTGGGAGGCTGAGGCAGGAGGATTGCTGCGAGTTTGAGCACGGCGTGGGCTACAAAGTGAGTTCAGTGCCAGTTCAGTGAACTGCATAGCAAAATCCTGTCTCAAAACGATAAAAAACAAAACAAAACAAACACACACTTCAGTGAGAAGAAGATGCTCAAATGGTCAGGGAGTCCTTTCAATATTATCCATTATCCAGGCGTTAATACACCCACTGAGATGGTTAAAGAGACTGGTAATATCTGATGTTGGAAATAGTGAAGAGCAGCTGGAGTTCCCATACACTGTAGAAGGCAGTATGAATTGTTAACTATTACTTTGGAAAACAGTTACTGTTACTTTCTGAACAACTTTATAGAGGTTTGTCAGTTTTGTATCAAGTTACACATATACCTGTTTTGTTATCGCCAATTTGACTGCAGTGTGTATTCACCCAAGAAAAGTTAAAATATGCTCACAGAAAGATGTTTAAGAAGGTTCATACAGTATTCATAACAACGCAAAACGGGAAACAACTCAAATATCCATCAACAGGTGAATAAATTCATTGTGATGTGTTTATTTAATGGAGTGTTACTCATCACCAAAAGGGAAAGAACTGCTAGACCCAGCAATTTGGGTGAAGGTCCATCTTTTTGAGGTGGAAAAATACAAAAAATGAAGAAGCACACTATATAATTAATTATGCAGTTCCAAAAGAGCCATAACTGAGCTGCGTCATAAGAGAAGTTGGATCCGAGTTTACGGGGGAGGGAAGAGAACAGAAGAGAGATGCAAGAGAACATTTGTATCCTCTTGGATCCAAGGCCCGTTGTGATCTGGTGCCTGTCCACCTCTAATTTCATCTCCCCTGTGATAAAATCTCAGCCGCTCTGGCATTCTCATAGCTCCTATAGCATCCCCTTTTCTGTCTCAGGACCCTCACCCGTAACGTTCCCCACTCCGCCCCTTCCCATGGCTGACTTGTCATTCATCAGTTTCTGCCTTTCATCTTCCTCACATAAATGTTAACCATCTGCCTGCTTGGTGTTTCACTGTCCACTTGCTTAACCTCTGTTTCCCTCACGGTAATGTAGGCACCATGAGGACAGAAGACCTGGTCTCTCTTGTTCTACATTGTATGTCCAGAACTTAGTACAATTCCAAGTAAACTCTTTTTGTTGTTGTTGTTCTGGAAACTGAACTCATGATCTTATGCTTGCCAGGCAGGTGCTGTGCCATTGAGCTATATCCCCAGCCCTAAGTTTTGATGCTTTAATGGCATTTGGGTATTTGAGTCTAGGTCTCTTACAATTCAGAGCCCAGATCCTGAACTCTAGTTCTTTTTTGTCACCAGTGTTCTGATAAAATGTTTTAATTTCCTTATTTTCTAGTCATTATATACCTTAATGACACGTAAAAGTCAACAGAGCAAAAAATGAGACATACCGAAAGCTGACTATTGTTCTTTCTTGCCAAATGATAATGGACCTCTGAGTGGTTCTTTTAAAACATTTCCACCGGCTTGAACCACCAGTGGTACATGCATGACTGTCCCATTGGGTGGCTTGCACAGCTGGTGGCACAAACAGATCTAACCACTTTTATTGTTTTTTTACCAATAAAATTAATAAAAAGCCACTTATTGGGAAAATCAAGCATGTACCACTGGTGTTTCAAGCTACCTGGCAGCAAGGCATATGAATTACACCCCCATCATGAACGTATGAAAGTCTGAAATGCTGAGACGGGATTTTTTTTTTTTTTTTTTTGGCTGTTTGTTAACTCTGCGGTGAGATAGACATCCTCAACATTGTGCAAGTAAGAAAGAGGAAAAGTGACTGAAAATTGAAATGAGTTGCCCAGGGGACTGTAGTATGAAACACATTAAAAAGATTTTGGTGCGTGCTATATTTTTTTCCAAACAAGCTAATCATTTCTCATTAAACTCTACACTCAGCTTGTGATATGCTTGTTTTATTTACAGTACATAATGATAAACAAGATAAAGTCAAGCAGAAAGCATTTGTGGAGCCATATTTTAAAGATAATGAGAGGTAAGTGGGTCTTGATTAATACCAGTGATATGATTGAAATTACACCCGAGCTGTCTGAGTATCTCTATCTGTATGTCTCAGTATCTCTAAGCTGTTAAATCAGTACTTTGATTAGAGTAGCATAGTTTACTCTGATCATAGCCAAAAGGACTCAAGAATAAAAGTGGTAAATTTTACAGAGAAGGGCATTTTTACTAGCAACACTGCTTTTAAATTCTCACAGTAGTTTCTCTGCTGTCTTATATGATAGCAGATACTATATTTTTATTCTATTTTATTTTGAACTTTGGGAATTAAATTATATTCTCTAACTTTTTACGTAGTATAAGACTTTAGGTGTTGAATCTGAGGTTGTCCAACTTCAGGATTATTTTATGAGGCTTTTCAAATCTTTAAAAACAACAGAAAACACTTTAAGCATCTTGATTTCAAACAGTAGTGCTACTTTCTGCCTCTAATACAAACATTGCGAATTCTGTTACTTTCAGATAAGATCCTGCAAGTTACTGAGTGACTTGTAAGTTACTAACACTCATTTTATCAATATCACAAAGAAAAAGAGCATAAAATACTTTGCTTTTCACTCATTGTATACAATATTTCTCTTTTTTTATCTGCATAGTACTTCATTAAATGATTACCCCGTGGTTTATCTCCTAGCACTGGACAGTTGTGTTGTTTGTGGTTATGCCAGTACGTGTGGTGCTCCAGTGACAAGCCTGCACTTCCTCTTCTCAGAATTTGGCTTGTGCATCTTTGGGATATGTTTCTTTTTTTTGTTTTGTGGTACTTGGGGATTACACTCCTGAGTGCATGCTCGGCAAGCACTCACCACTGAGCTACATCCCCAACCTGGGATGTATTTCTAGAAGTAAAATGGCAGGCAGATTAAAAACTGTCTCCTCAAATGGTTCATATTAGGGGTTTGTGAATTTTTTTTTTTTAAACTTACTAGTGTTATTTGTTCTGACGTTATTAGACTGTTAGAGAAGTAGAAAGTAGATAAAGGTATAGGGATGGTAAAGGTCTTAGAGTTAATTGCTTTTCAAAACTAAGAATTCTAGCACCTAGAACAAAAAGCTTTGTAACCTTTTAGGTGACACTTGGTTGAAGGTCTGCTCTGGAACCCAGTTCTACTAGTAGATTTCCTACTAAATTATAGTATACTTCAGAAATAGCATGGGTAGTATTCAGAGGAAAGGAGACAGCCAAAATGTATCCAGTATAAACGTAGGATTCTATAAATTGTCTGGGGAAAAAATATAGTTTTGGCAGTATATTTTTATCCATTCTTTCTTAGTGTCTCCCTTTTTAAATTTCCAGATTGCTCCAGAATTGAGTTCTTGGGTTAAAGCATAAGTACAAGTTCATATACTTGGAAGCAGAGCAATTGAAACTTCTTGTGAAAGAAAGTCCTTGCCAAGTAGAGGGCCATATGATCCAAATATCTCTGAGGTGTAGATATATTATAAACAAGTCATTTAAAGGTTAGGTTTTGTGAGTCAGACAATTTAATGTCACTAGAAATGTTTTCTTGTGGGGGTGTTTAGGGGAGGTGAGACAGGGTCTCACTGTGTAGTTCAGGCTGGCCTTGAACTCATTGTATAGGCCAGGCTGGCCTCAGACTTGTGGCAATCCTCCTGACTGAGTGCTAGGATTATAGGTATGTGCCACCATGCCCAGCACTCACTGGGAATGTTTTATAAACAGAATAATATATGTAACTGTTTATTTACACATGTTATAAGTTTATGTAGGCTTTTTAAAGCCAGGTTCATTTAACGTTTTAAAATTGTATACTTCTGTGTACTTTTTTCTTCCAAAACTACTCCAGAACACATTAACCTATATGGCACTGATCCATATCCCAGTGGCTTTGACTCTGCCCAGGTTTCCAGTGGTTCTCAGTCTGGTGCATTTAAAGAGAAGCACAAGTAATAATTGTGCCTATACTTTGAAGAACTCAGGATGCAATGTCTTCTGTAGACAAAATCTGTAGACAAAGTAGCAAATAGCATGCAAACAGATGAATCAGTTCTTTGAGCAGGAAAAAGTTGCCCCTGAAATCTGGGTTCTTAGTACTAGAAAAACAGAGGCATTATTTTTTCTTGGTTATGCTACACATGCACGAAACACACATGAAAATTTGCTTCAATATAGTAGGTGTTTAATATTTGGAGAAATATTTTTCTAATATACTGAATAAGCATGTTAAATAAAAGGAATAATAAATGTTTCAGGATTACTTCTCCTGAACTCTCGCCTTTGTTAATTCAAATGTTAACCTACCTGATCTTTGTAATAGCAGATAAGTTAATTTTAAATTCGTTTTCCCCTCAGAGAGACTAGCTTACGAAATTTTCCTCATATTGAGGTGGTTCGGAAAAAAGAAGAGAGAAGAAAATTGCTTGGGCACACTTGTAAGGAATGTGAAATTGTAAGTACTAATGGAAATACTGCTTTTGTTTTAAAGGATGGCCTTAATAGATCGTAAAAACCATACAAACCATATTTTATCTAGAAACCTTCAAGCTGGAAATAACAAGGAATAAAAAATATACAAATAGGTGAAAGTGAAAGCCCCAGTTTCTCTTAGATTAACCAAATCTGAGGCTAAAACCCTAATTCAAGTGATCAGTTCAAGACATTCATGCACTTTTCTTTTCTATATTTGCAAAGGCGCATACACTCAGTTTCCAGAAAACTTTGATATTTCAGTAGGAAACTTTACAATAACATTTGTTTCTTTCACAGATATACTCAAGAAATTAGATGTACTCATAATTAGGAAATAATAATAGACTACTGCTGTAAGATCTTACTGTTTCCCCTTTTTTTCCTCCCAGACAAAATGTGATGAATAAACTTTGCTTCATTCTTAGAAGACTTGTATTTTTCCTTTTGTACACAGGCTGTCCTAGATGCTGACCTAGTTAGTATAGTACTAGTTGTGCTATTATTAACTCATCCTGGGCAGGCTCCAGGTCTGCTTAAAATCTGTTGTCTTTCCTTCTTTTTTGCCCAACAGTTGCCTGATGCCTGCCTCTAGCCATTTACTTTCCCTTTTAAGTCTTCTTTTTACAACTCTAGGCTATGCTCCAATCAGCTTTTCACGGCTGTGACCAAAACCTGAGATAAACAGCTTAAAAAGGGGAGAGGTTCATTTTTGGCTCATGGCTTCAGAGGTTTCAGCCCATGGCCATTTGGACCTGTAAAAAGGCAGAGCATCACGTGAGGTGCATGTAGCAGAGCACAGCTGCTCACTTCATGGTGGCTGGGGTAGGGAGAGGCCAGGAAACCCTGGATACCCTTCAAGGACATCCCCCAATGGCTTCTTCCTCCTACAGCACCTCCTAAGGTTCCACCACCTCCCAGTAGTCCCATCACCTGGGGACCAAGCCCTCAACGCATGAGCTTCTGGGGAGCATTTAAGATCCCAGGCTAGAAAATGTACTAACCCAACACCTGAAAAATTTCATGTGAAAGTATGACTAGGCTGTCACGTAGGTAAACATTTGGTGAAAATATTCACAGTGGGAATATAAATCAGGATCACCGTTTTTAAAAAGCAGTGTGGTAGTACAAGCAAAAGTCACTGACACCATGAGTTTTCATAACACAACTTGAATATGGTTTCTTAAAGAACATGGTCTTCATAAGTATATCTCCAGTTTTTATTTCTAACCGTAACTCTTTATGACCTGGAACCAATCCTGCTAGTTAAGAAACAGCTCTTAGGCTAGAAATACTTTTAATTTGCTTCTTCTCAGTGCTATTCTGTGCAGTTGTCCAGTCTCTGAAAGCCATGCTTTCACACCCTTTTGTGGTTCATTTTTTTTTTAGTTGTTTAAGGTAGGATGTGAATCATTCCATTACTCCATCATGACCAGAGGTGAAAGTGTTCACCTCATGAACTAAAGTACTAGTTACCGTTTGTAAATTCTTCCTGTTGCCTGTCCCACTTGTGCAGTGTGTAACGTACAGGTGGATTGAGACAGTGGCCTCAAGTTTCACATCTCCAAAAGCAAATACACAATTTCTACCTGTGATTCCCAGATGTCACTGCCTGCCCTCCTATATGTCCATTCTTTCGATTGTTGACATAAAAGATCTGGTAGTTTTTTACTACTCTGTTCTTGTGCATGTCAGTAACTGATCTGTCAGCAAATCCTGTTGTTTCTACCTGGAAAACTTGCCATTTTTATCCACTTATCACTGCCACCAGTGGCCCGGGCCAAGGTACCATTTTATTCTGTCTGAACTATTGCAGTAGATTCTTTTTGTTGTTATTGTTGTTGGTTCCAGGAATCAAACTCATGACCTCACGCTTGCCAGGCCAGTGCTGTGCCGCTGAGCTACATCTGCAGGTTTATCAAAGTAGATTCTAAGTGATTTTCTTACCTTTTTTTTAAAACTTTATTTTTAGAGCAGTTTTAGGTTCACAACAGACTTGAGCAGAAAATACAAAGTTCTCGTATAACCCCACATCCAGTCTTTGTGATATGCTTGTCTCTTCACACCGTGCTTTCAACAGAGCAGTGAATGGTGTTTTTTTCCCTGATAATCTTTTTAAAATAACAAGTTAAATCATGCCGTTTTTCTACCCCAGATCTTCCTTGTCTTCCCATCTCATAAGAAACAGAGTTGAGTTTTTACCAAGGACAGCAAACCACGGCACCTGCTTTCTGTCCGTGTTCGCCTGCTCTCCCAGGTGCTCTCTGTGCCGTAGCTGCACTGCACTAGCCTGCTGTCTTATCTCTGATAGGTCCTAGTTTGGTGGTGGTGTTTTTTCCAATAAACCATGTCTAACGTTACTCTATCCCAAAGCTCAGACTGTGGTAACAGAAGGTTATAGTTAGGGCAGTGAGAATGATGAAAATATAGTTCCCCAATGGTGATTCAGAAAGTCTCTGAATCTTAAAAGCCTTTAATCCATGTAAATTTCAATATATCAAAAGCCTTTGCTTCAGACTTGAAGTTTTAGTCCTCAGTCTGTTATTTTCATCTTCTGAAATGTAAAATGAAGGAATGGCTGAATTGTATAACTCCGTCATCTGTTCCAGTACACTGAACTGCTACTGCTTTGTTTTCTTGAGGTGTCAACCTTGAAGACCTATTTATGTATAGTTTCACATACAGATTTTATTCATGTTCTCACAAAATTCAAGATGATAACAGTTCAAAAAAGTGTGCCTTTGATCCTAATTTAAAAATACAGTTCACAGGGGTAGTCATAAATCCTACAACATTCCAAGTCTAAATTTTTCTTACAAAATACTCCAAAAGCATGGTAGCACCTGCCAGTAATCCCAGCTATTGAGGCAAGAGGATCATGAGTTTCAGGCCATTTTGGGCAACCTAGCAAGATTCTATCTCAAAATAAAAAATCTGTAAATTTGTAAAAAGTTTCTGAGTTTGAAACTCAATGATAGCTTACCTAGCATGTGCGGGACCCTGGGGTAAGCCCTAGGATGGATGGATGGATGGATGGATGGATGGATGGATGGATGGATGGATGGAGGGATGAATCTAGAAATGAGAAAACTACTTTGAAACACTCCTGTTATAGTCCAGATAACAATTGAAAAAACAGCAGACCTCTGAATTTTTTTAACTGGACTTGCAAAAACTGAGAAATTTATACCAGTATATAAATCAGCTATGATACTAGGTACACTGAGGCAGGATGTTTATTTATATTGTGAATATAAATTCACATTGTAAATTTATTTACATTTCTCTCATTCATGGAACAAACACTGCATAGACCAGTACCAGTACTGTTAGTAATTAATAGTGTCTGTAAGTATTAATTACTGATATTATCCTCAATATTGCTTCCATTGAAGACAGAATGTTTCAATAAGTGAGTTATTTAGTTTGTAGTTAGTGAGAAAGACACTCCATCCACTGTTCCTCTCTCAGTATTACGCAGACATGCCAGCAGAAGAAAGAGAAAAGAAGTTGGCTTCCTGCTCAAGACACCGATTTCGCTATATTCCACCCAACACACCGGAGAATTTCTGGGAAGTTGGTTTTCCTTCCACTCAGACTTGTATGGAAAGAGGTAAGATATAGATTGTATTAAAATTAATTCTGTAAAATATTGTATATTCCCAAGTATGCGTATTAACCTTTTCTCCACAGTTCTGCTGTGGTTTGGCTGCTAATTCTGTTACATAAAAATAAATTCCTAAAGATAAAAGTTTACCTTCATCTTTCTTGTTAATTTAATTGAGGTCTAACATTGTTTGTAATCACTTTAATACAATTATGTATGTATTATCATGATTTCATTCAGATCTCAGAAAGCAATTTTTCTTTCATCCTGTTACCAAAAAGTCTTAATTGCAATAGTTAGCGGTAAAGTTACATTGCTAAAGAGAGAGCAACTTTTAAAAATTTAAGTTGTGGACTTTAAGACCTCATGCATCCAGAATACTGGACATTTATAGACCCTATTTTAATTTTTGAAAAGATGCTTATTAGATTGTTGATCCATAAATATGGCACTTACATTTAATATAATTTAAGAACATGTGTCACTTTAAAACTATTAGAAGATTATGAGTAGTGAATGTTGTCCTCACTGTATTACCACCATTATTATTCACTAGCAACACAATGCTAGAAAATACAGTTACACACTTACTGGCTTTATATTGATTTTCTCCCAAAGCTATTTAGGTGGGTTCTGAAGTCCTCATGTTACAGTAACCATCCTTGAGGCAGCATACTCCCATTACTGCCTTTGGTCCAGCTAAGACTATCAGTCTCAACATTTTCCATGTACTCATGCTACATAACATTTCAGGAAGCAATGGACCACATATACAGTGGTGATTCTGTAGAATTATATGTCCTAGTTGGGCCTAGGGGCACACACCTATAATCCCAGTACTCGGAAGGCTGAGGTAGGAAGAGTGCTGTGAATTTGAGGCCAGCCTGGAGTATGTAAGTGAGTTCAAGCCCAGCCTGCACTACATAGTGAGACCTGTCTCAGAAAAAAAAGAAAAAATGTGAATTGAATTCCATCGCACAGTGAGACTGTAACCGTCTTAACTTGTATGTGTGTGCAGTATGTACACTGTGGTGTCCATAAAATGAAATTGTCTAATGATATTTATCAAGCCAGTCCCTCATCATAAGCAGGACTATCTTTGGGCTATATAATCATGCATAGCAATCAAGACCTCAACTTTAATCATTAGTTCAAATGAAATAAAATGCTCTAGCACCTTAATACTGCATTCTTAAACTTGAACTATTCAACTAAGCAGCATCCATTTCACAAACCCTTTATTGTGGACATATTCCAAATGAACTCACAAGAGCTATTCTTTATGAAGCAACCTCTTTAGCTCTGGATTTTATTTTCTACATTACTTCATTCTTAAACCTTTTTATTCTTTCCACATATTAGAAGTATTTGTAGATACTCATTGGGCATTTTAATAAGAGGATATACTCTTACGTTTTAGGGAAATTTTAATCATCCTAAAATATTAGGGATAAATATTCATGTTAAGTTTATGCAATTTATCACATTTTTGAGTATACCTCAGTGATGAAGCTGTCTAGAAAAAAGGACGTAAGAGATGCAATATATTAGCTAATAAGCAGGGACTTACCTGAACTTCTTAGTTTTACCATGCTCTATAGACTACCCAGTCTTATCTTGTGGTTTAAAGTAGAGTTCTGTGAAGATGTGATGTTTCCTGAGATATAACTGGAAAATACAATGTTCATAATGTATATGAATTGTATTGTTTTTTGTTGTTTTTTTTTCGGTACTGGGAATCAAACTCACGACCTTGCGCTTGCCAGGCAGGCACTGTGCCGCTGAGCTAAATCCCCAGCCCCATAATATATGTGAACTGACTTTTAGGTTTATGATAGATTTAATTAGTAGCCTACAGATTTTAAGCCTGTAATTTTAAGTTGTAAATAAACACCTAAAAAGTTTACTCACTGTATTAAATAAATAAATATTAGATTACCATGTAGAACTTTTCAAATTTGCCATTTTATGCTGTTCTCATTTGAGTTCCAATGACCCAATAATGTGACTACTGTATTTCCCCCAAAATAAGACCATGTTTTATATTAATGCTAGTTCCAAAAGATGTAGTAGGGCTTATTTTCAGGGAATGTCTTATTTTTTCATATACAGCAGTCTATATTCACGTATAACAGTCTACACTTACTCATCTATGCTTGACAAAAATCTCCACTTACTCAGACACAGTCATGTCATCTTCTGTAGTATCATCATAACTCTCCAAACCCCATATTCCAGCCTGAATGTTTTGTGACTCTATTTCCTGTAGAATCATTGGCCCCAGTCTCTGATGCTCAGCAAGAGAGTTCTCCATAAATGAATACTTACTTGTCCTTGTACCCTGCTCATAGTGCCTTGGCAACCCAGCTGTCAGTGGTTTTATCCCTTTAATTTTTCACCTCAGTAACAACCACTTGCAGGCTGGGCTTCACAAAATTTTCATTAAGTCAAGTGTTAATTTAAGACTTACAAGATAGGAGTGGCAATAAAAATGGTGACAGTTAAGGATGCTGACCTATGCAAAAGTGACAAAAAATTGCAGGCACCAAAATTCAAAAAGCATTTTATTTCACATAAGTGCATTAAGTGTGTCCATTAAAACACACAACGTATTGAATTGTGAAGGTTCATATTAGACATAACCACGTCTGTCACTATCACGTGTGCACACTGTCATGCATTGTGTCTGCACTGATTGGTCGTCAGCAGTAACTCTCAAGTTCATCGTTTATGTAGGCATTACCTCTCGTATAAAGGCACTCATTTAGGCATTTACAAATACTTAATTCTGATTTATATTATCATTTAAGTATTAGTATCAGTAATATTTATGTTTATATATATAATATTATTTGTAATTGGGCACATACAACAGCTGTACTAACTGCATCTGTCTGGCTGATCTTAACTGGGGCTTATTGGGGGAGTAGGACTTCTATTTCGAGCACCCTGAACAATCATGCAAGGGCTTCCTTTCCTGTTAGGTCTTGCTTTTGGTGAAATACAGTTGCAGTGAGGGGGAACCATCATCTAGAGAAGATGTCTAGAGAAGCTCCAGGAATTTAGCTCAGTGATAGCTTTCCTAAAAGACTCAAAGTCTCTGGCAGCTATTGTGCTTCCACTTCCCCATTAATAGGTCAGATTAAGTCCTCTTTGACATGAAAGCTCTCTGCTCAGTACTCACATGGAATCAGACAGTCTGGCCAGATTCTGTGTTTGCACCATGTGCACCCAGGGCACAATCCTCCCCTCAAAACTTCATGAGTGGAGACACCTTGGGAGAGACCTGACCATCGAGAAAGTGTAGAGGCAGGCATATCAGGCAAGGAAATAACTACTGCAAAGATCTTTCCTTTTCCCCAGATAAGCACCTGGAAGGTATCACAGTAGTAAAGTTCACATGTAGCAGTTTGTACAGTCTGTGGGAGGTAGAATAGGAAAGTGCCTAAGAGTTCTGGGTCTGGAATTAGACCAAGCTTGGGCAAGGTTCCATCCCTTCCACTTCCTAGCTTTGTGACTTTAGGCAAGTTATTCACCTTCTCTGGGTCTCCATTACCTCATCAGTAAAAAGTGTGAGAGTTATGCCGGGCATGGTGGAACACACCTATAATCCTAGCACTCCGGAGGCTGAGGCAGGAGGATCATTGCAAGTTCAAGGCGATCCTGAACTGCAAAGTGAGACCCTTTCTCAAAAGGGCAAAAAAAAAAAAAAAAAGTGTGAGAGTTACCAGAGGTGCTATACAAAACCTTTGATAAATGTTTGCTGTTCTTATTGTTAATATAAGTGAGAAAACATGCCGGGTGTGGTTGGTAGCATATGCCTGTAATCCTAGTACCCTGAGGTGGGAGGATGACAAATTCAAACCTAGCCTGGATTTATTGATTTAACAAGCCTCTATCTCAATAAAAACCTGGGGGCTGGATGCTCAGTGTGAAGGCCTTGGCTCAGTCTCTAGTCCACAAACAGAGGAAGCTGATCCTAACTAGTGAAATCATTCGTCAGCGTTACTGCTAAAATTCTAAAGAACCGTGTAAATTTATAAGGCATTAAATAAAGTAAATTTTTACTGGGTATATGCTGAAAGAAAGGTATGTTGCAGATACAGTCTTCTAAATTTCTATTCTTTTTTTTAAGGTTACATTAAGGAAGGTCTTGACCTTTGTCCTCGTCCAAAAAGACGGCAGCCTTACAACGCAATGTTCTCTCCTAAAGGCAAGGAGCAGAAGATATAGAGGCTGAAGCAGAAGGACTGAGGGCGGTTTTCCCCTTTTAGTTGTTTATAGCTGAAGTTGTATTAAACAGTGATTTTTCTGATTTTCTGTAAATTGACGTACAAATCAGTTTTTCTATTAAAAATGTTTTTAAATGGCATTTACTTACCACACAAATAACTATTTAAAATGTGGCTGTGTTTATACTTCCTTGCTATTGCATCTTTAAAACAATAAGGTGCTTTAATTTTGCACTCTAACTTAAGAGTTATTTACTTTTTTGGTAATTACAATTTTGAAAATATGGTAGTTGTCTGATGTGTTTTTTGCAAATATTTTCTTTTTTACTCCATCTTCCTTTGATACGTACCGTTAGTAGTGATTTCATGCTAATCATTACAGGTTTTCGTTCTCTTAATCATTTGCTCCTTTACGCGACACGAGTGCCTGACATTTAAGTCTTAAAAAGAAACGTTAAATATTAACAGTCTTAACTCTCCGGCTCTTCCTTTTGTAGAATTGAAATGACTTACTAAGGTGACCGTATATATCAGTAAGCTGCAAACTACCGCTATCCCCCAATTTGATCATAATGTTGCAGCTCTTCTCATGTTCTTTTCATCATACTGTTTTTTTTCTGATGCAATTTTCAAGCTGAGTTTGTTGAGGTCTTCTCTGCCCATGCGTTAAGTGCAGTTGTTTTATTTCTCCGGATTGACTAATAGCTACTAAAATAGATTTATTGATTTAGCAACTTTCTGTTCCTCTAGGACCTAGTGACTGAGTCATTAAGATAACTGACCATGTATGTCACCTTTTTTGTGGCGTTGTATTTACCAGTGCCTTTTTTGCCTGTTCCTTTAATCCATTACCTGACTGTGTTTATAAGCAGGAATACAAGAAACCCTGAATGGAATCACCAATTAAATCAGAGTAGTTCTATAGGTAAAATCTTCTCAGTTCCTAAAACGTCCTAACTTAGTCCAGTCTTACTGCTCAGAGTTCTCTGAGTTTGTGTTCTGAGAGAGAGAAAAGAAAGAGACTCCACTTACTGAGTATCGACTAGATGTCATACTGCTTAGCTTTTGGCTGTCAGTAGGATTCTAAATTTTCTACAACCAGCTATGTCTTCTGCCCAGTACTTTTCTTTCCCTTTCAAGTTGTTTATCCTGTGTTTGACTTTTGTCCTCATCTGACAGTCAGCTAATCTGAAAAACAAACAACCATTTATCGGTCACCTACTATATGCTAACAGCTGTTATGCTTTTCACATAGATTTTTCTTTCAACCCTCAAATAATCCTACGAATTTGTTATTACTAATAATGTTAAACTGCAGGAAATGGAACAGCAGATTACACAACTGATGATTTTTTTTTCTGTCCTTAAAAGTCTGTAAGTCAATAGTCCAGGGATGCTGGTGCAGCTCCATGGTGCCTTCAGGAACCTAGATTTCTCCTAGCTTCTTGCTCTTCTGTACTTTGCATATGACTTTCTTCTTTATGGCTAAAAGATGGCTGTGCCACCTCTAGAAACGTGGCCACATTCAGTGCAAGAAGAAAGGGAATGGAAAAAATAATGCTGTTTGGTTTTATTCCCTCAAAAAAGTTTCCTAGAAACCAGGGACTGCGGCACACACTGTAATCCCAGCACTGTGGGAGGCTGCAGGATTGCAAATTTGAACCCAGCCTGGGCAATTTAGCAAGATCTGGTTTCAAAAATAAACACATATAAAAAGGGATAGAGATGTAGCTCAGCGTGAAGGCCCTGGACCCAATTGCCAATACTGGCGGGGAAAAGTTTCCTAGAAATCCTTACCCTGTAATGTTCCAGCAGTCACCTTGCTACCTCCAGTGGCCAGAATTGTCCCTCTAATAACTGCTACAGATGAGGTTAGAATACAGGACCGTCCACTTCCAGAATCAGACCTCATAGGCACTGTCGCGCAGTGCCTGTCTACGCCAGGAACTTGAGAGGCACCTGTGTTTGAATGGGATACAATAGAACATGCTCCATCTGTATATCTTTAATAGATTTTGCTTTTTAAAGGGCAGTCTGAGCAGAGATTGTCTGCCTGATAGAAACTTGTCAGCCATGCAATTCATTTGTACCTATCATTTTTATCTTCACTCACCCTGTGAGATTGGGTGAACTGCGGTCTCCATGTTTTATCTGCTGTTGACTAGCTGGCCCTTTAAATAGAGTAATGAAAGAGACAATCGACGATTTTGTTTTTCTAGTGCCAGGAATCATACCCAAGACCTTACTCATGCTAAGCAAGCACTCTACCGCTGAGCTACACCCCAGTGCCAAAATAGGCAGTTTTTAAAAACCACTTGATTTGAAAGGGTGCATTAACATGTTCACAACAGGGCTGTAATTCCTATGTCTCACTCGCAGGTGGTTTGAACCACCAGTGGTACATGCATGACTGTACCACTTCTACCGCTGGTGTGACTCATGCCCGCAAGAGCATCTTAAATGTAAACAGCAGTTGATGACGTGGTGCGCTCTCAAACTTTTCTGTAAAAAAATTATGTGAAAGGGCTTTATACATTTGTAAAGTATTTGTAGAATATGGGCAGTAGTGTGTTCTATCTACCATGTACCAGTCACTGAGTATGTATAGTTAAATACAATGTCAGAGTGTCTGCAGGCTTTTCATATTGAGCTCTGATTTAAACTTTAGACATGTACAGAACCTACATATCAGCCCCTGACATTTAAGTAAATACCTTTCCTGCCTTTGATAAGTGGATACTCTGATTAAACCATCTGAAGCCTAAGGTTCCCAATAGTAACACTTTAAATGAATTAATTGCGAGTATCCAAGTGTATGAAGGGAACACAATATGTTCCCTTGAGAGGAAAGCCAAATGAAACAGAAGAATATGCCCTAAGACTTGCAGTGAAAGCTTTTTGCAAAGTGCACCTGGAAAGATCACTGCTAACAGGCCCAGTGTATCAGTAACTCAATTTAAACTGCACCTGGTACATGCATTTTAAGGTCCGTGCAGGGCATTCTTAGGCCCTGTAAAACAAATAACTTGGAAAGATTACAGATCCCTTTTTAATTCACAATTCATGTACCAAAAAAGAGGAGTATTACATAAATCTAATAACACATATCATTTATTTATACCACAAACATTTATTAAGTGTTGTATCACTAAAGTGCAGTGTCTGGATCAGGCAAAATTTGAAGCATTTTCTGCAAAAAGTAAGCTTTTAAAGAAACATACGCATAAGGATCTTCCAGCCTTTTCTCCAGTGTCTTAACATAAGCATGAATTTAATTTGGAAAAATAATATAGAAATAAAAATTTGAATTCTATCTCAAATTCTATCAGCTATCTATTCTCAGCATACTTAACACTTTGAGGTTTCTTTTCTCTTGGTTCAGTCAATGCTGTAAAAACAGTTCCTTAGTAAACAATAGTGTCCTTATACTTGAGTTCCTCTTCAGCATGCACTCAAGTAAAGAAATAATGGAACAGTTGTCTGCGATCGTGCCAGCAGAGGCCAGAAGAGAGCTGTTTTTAGAGAAATCATCAGTTGGAAACTACAGGATTGAGAAAAATAAAATTTCTAGGCTGGGTGTGGTGACGTGCTCCTGTAATCCCAGAGGCATAGCAGGGTCAAAAGTTCAAGGCCAGCCTGGGTTACATACTGAGATCCTGCCTGAAAAAAACATCAAATGAAGAGAAAATTTTTCTGGGGTAAATAATTGGGTACCTTTGGCACAATGATGAAAGCTCATTGGGCCAAAAAGAGCTCCCAGCATAGCTGTTATTGCAATAAAACAAATAGAAACAGCAAGAATGTATGGTTTTAAGATTTTTTTAAAAACATCAACAAACATTGTACCTGTCATATGCTGAGCGTCTGGGGACTCCAGGAGATTTGTGAGGCTCTGTTACCTAATGGGAGAAGAGACACACAAAAAGATGCCTAAGAGGTTGAAGAATGAGGCAGAGTGCAGAAGAAATCTTCAGGATGACTAAAACCCAAGCTGCCTTAGGATGAGTTAACCTCGCAAAGCAGGAGGAAACAAGGCCAGGGACATTGGGAGACCGGAATGTAGAAATGCTAAGTCAGGAGGGACCTCAGTGATAAGTGAGTTCTCACTTCTCCCTTTATAGTAAGTAAACAAAAGCCAAAAATGAGTGATTGCCAAGGTGTCAGGGTGAATCTATAATGTGGTGCATCTGGAACCTACAGTTTGGTTTTGGTTGGTTTGTTTCAGTTTGGGGGCGGGGGCGTGCTTTTCCCCTCCTAAGTGTCTTGCAGAGCCCTTACAGGGTATCTAGTAAGAGAGGCAGGAAACTTGTCTCTTGAATGTAAAACAAAATTTTAGACGAGTCTCTCAGCTTGTGGTTTCCAAACCCACAGATCCTTTTATTCTAAAGTAGAATAAGTTAAATCTTACAAAGAACTTAAATAGACAGTGATACCTTTTTTCTTTACGAGACAGAGGCTAAGTCACTAAATTGCCTAGACTGGACACAAACTTGTCAGCCTCTCAGAGTGCTGGGTTTACAGCTGTGTCACCATGCCCAGCTGACAATTACACTTTAATGGCCTGAATTTATTTCAGTTCTTCAAAATTCTCACTTTTCAAAATTGAATTGGTAAAGCTAGATAAATAATGGAGAAACGAGTCGTGGATGTGGCCGATAGTGTCGTACATCAGTCTTGGTATCCCAGTGAAATGCTTGCTGTAGCCCAGTCCAGTTAAATCAGTATCTGATGGTAAAGCCCAGGCACCAATATTTTTTTAAAGTTCCTAGGTGATCTAATGTGCAGCCAAGTTGGAGGATACTCAAAGTCCTTTCACAGTCCAGTGCAGGGTATTCGAAAGGTAACGGGTCTCCATCGAGGAGGCTTCTGAACGCAGATTGCTGGGCCTCACCTCAGTTTTGATCCCGTGGGCCCTAATATTTACATTTTCCACACATCCTAAGGTGATGCTCGTGCTGCTGCTACAAGGGCCACAAGTACCTAATTCCTAAAAATCACCCAGATGCTTAGTACATAAAGATGCCCAGGCTCCTCCCATGGGAATTCTGATTCAGGTATAGTCGGAGCATTTATATTTTTAACAAGTTCCTAAATCATAAGTATGAGGCAAATTAAGAAATACTACTTTGAACAGGAAAAACTAACAAAATATTAAAAACTTCAAACATCCTCTGACAGAATATTTCAAGGCATTGATAGAATGTGTTTGGGGATGAGGCAAGGGTAGGTCAGGTATGCAAGAGAGTAGTTTAGTAATTCCTATATGCCAAGTGTGAAGAGCTCC